TAATAACTTGAGTACAAGAATATCTACATGAACCAGTTATTAATTAGCAATGTACTGGCGTCTGATTCCGAGCATAAACTTTGTTTAGGACCTCACATATACATGCATACATTAGGGTGTTCTTTTTTTTTTGGTTCTTGTTAAAAGAAATCTTCAAAGTTGTGTCTTGTGAAATGAATTCCATAGAATTTCATAAGTAAATTATTAAAAACAGAATTGAACATGTAACACCAAGACTTTAAAAATTATACATATATATTTTTATCAATGTAGAATGACATTTTTTTAAATAAAAGAAATTTAAACGATAAAAAATAATATTTGTTATTTTATCATTCAGATTAATTTAAGTTTGCATATTGTATGTTGTTGACAAAAAAAAATGATAGTTGTGGATGAAGAAAAGAACAGGTTCCACTTGTGAAAAAAAATTTGTGCTATATATTTATTTTCATAGTTTTGTAACTTTTGTTATCATGTTTATCCTTGTAGTTAAAAAAAGATTGACCACACCAAAAAGAAAAGTTAATTTTGTTTTTTTATCAACAACTCTTTTTTTTTTTTTTAATCAACAGCTATATTTTCATTTTTGTGGAAAAGTTGTTAGATCTTATGGAATTGGTAAATCAATTCATTGAATTTGTATTCGCTGAAATTGAAAAGCCCTAATAATAGGAGAATTATTGTGAAACCATCTTCTTTTGTTTGCCTTTAAACATGCAAGCCACAGAATAAACTAAGCAATATCATATTGAAAGTAATAATTTGACTAATTAATCCGGGAAACCGTTTTAACAATCTTTAACGCGAAATTTGGCTAAAAAGACTTTTTATCGCTTATGCATTCAACTTAACGACGATATCAATTTAATAATCCTTAGACTAATAGACTTTTAGCTACAAAATCCCATGATATGAATATTATTTTTCGATATAGGAAATTATCATCTAAAAATTAACTTTATGTAATTTCTTTCATTCAAATTAAATTATACAATTTTGACAACAAGCTTTAGCACGACAACAATTTTACAAAATCTTTTCGTAAGTGTGCTGATATACTAACAGATATGATGTACTAAACGTAACGAATAAAAAAACCTATTGATTACTAGCTAGTTTAAAAATAGCTCTTCATTTTCAGAAGCAAGCTAACGGTTCTTTTGTTTCGACATTAACCTTTAACGAGTAACTTAACTAATAGCAATAAGTAACATTAATTAACCGTCATTAATGACATTAATTAGTGGAGGCCACCAAGCTTACGATTCTGTGTTTCACTACAAACAAAAAGGGAGATTAGTGTGAGAAGACTGTCTAAATCTCAGGCTGTTATGTTCTTTCTTTCAGACTTAACTATGATTAAACCTAATTTTTAACATGATTATTTTAATAAAACCTGGTTTTCAGGACCATGCTCTTCTGGGCACGACCTCTCTCTCTTACCCTAAAAAAATTGTATAATTATCCAAGTTATGGAGACTTTGGACATAGATTTATCATTAGTCTAATCACTGACACGTGTAGCTGAATTCTTATATGTTACTTTGTATGGTTTCAACTTTCAAATAAGAGGTTTTGCATGTTCGGAACAATTAAATAATCATATCAAAATTCGATTGTTTTATAGAATAGTAAAAAACTAATTGTTAGATTCTTTACAAAACGTAATTTATCGAAAGCAAGACATATTCGAAGTGGTCGTGTAAGAGTCTCGATTTTTGCCTTTTCCATAAAAGCTGATTTTTAGTTAATTTAAAAATTATTTTCCGTATTTTGGTACACAAATGAAAAATTACGGGGTGGGTCGAAAATTGATATTAAATTCATCATTTACATATACAAAATTTTACTTTCGTACAAAACTAGACACTAGTGGGAATTAAACAGTACAAGATGTTTTTTTCTTTCTGGTAAGTGATATTGCGCGAAATTGAAAACGGAATGGTGAGTATAATTTTATAATAATGTAACATAGTTATTACTATTAACTAGTAGCAAATGAAGAATTATTAAGTAAAGACAAAATTATTCAATGCAACTGCAATGAAACCCCGAGGGAAAGAAAGACCTTGTGTGGTTCTGCTATTTCCATGTGGCTGCTAGTGGTCCATCATACGTCAACTATACTTGCAGCAAGAAAAATTTAAAATCAAGTTTTAAAATTAAAATTTTAAGTAGTTTCGATGGTTTTATTTTAATGTTTTGAGATAGTGCTTGAGTAGTGGAAACAATAAAACCATTAGGAATAGTCGAACAGACCTCGAAAGAAGCCTCGATAAGCCCAAACTGAAACATATATATAATCGCATTGGTGACTCAAGAATTAGAAAAACAAACGTAAAAATTCTAGTTTTGACAAAGCTTACAAATTAAGAACTTACACAAACAAAAGAAAAACAAGCAAATTACAAATCTTGCAAAAACTTTACACCAAAAAAAAAAGATTGCTATATAGTAAATTTTGATAATTTATTATCCTTAAATAACTTCTTCATATATTTCATTGAGTAAATAACACTTCTTTATAATGAAAATACAAATATTCACAAATTTAACGAAAATGTTTTGTTCACCTGCGATTTTTTAGTATTTTTTCTCTGAAAGTTTAAATCCACCAGGGTGGTCAACTGAACAATTGTATGATGATTTTTCTTATTCATTAATATAATTCTCACTTTCGACGAAAAAAAAAAAAAACTATTATCGGTGGTTACCATTCATCACAAATTTGTAGTGATGCAAAACAGAACCTTGTTGAAAATTTCAGAACTTTGTGAAATATTTTAGAAGTATTTTAAAACTTACAAATTTTTGGAATTTTACAATGTATCAATAAAAACTTTGGAAAGTTGTTTTTATAACATATATTGTTTTCAGAAAATTTTGCAAGAATATAAATATGTTTCCTATGATATAAAATAATTTTTAACAAACTTTTGGATTTCCATATGTTTTTCTGAAAATTTTACAGGTTTTGGGAAATTATTCATATGTTTTGAGAAAGGTTAAAATGTTTTTCTGAAGAAACATTGTTCATATTCCTCACTGAAATGATCAATTTTTCTTTAATATTTAAACCTCTTATATGAAATGAAATCAACCCAACACCATAAATTCTAACCATCTTTTAAATCTCATCAAAGATTATAAATTTTTAATCGCAAATCTAATCTCTTTAACTCTAAAATCCTAAATCCTATTGTCGTTAAAACATCATGGATGTTCACGATTGTCGATCTCGCATTCATGTCTTCCCTAAAACATAATTAAAAAAATATAAAACAAACGAAAAAAGAAATTAAGTAGTTCAAAATAAAAAACTAGTTAGTTTCTTATAACTCCTAAAAAACACTATTCTAAAAAATATTTTCTAACAAAACGTATTACTTCTTATAAATATTTTTATTACTAACTTATCTAATGGTGAGAAACAAATATCTTGGATTTGTAAAATATTTTAGGGAAAGTGTGGAGATTAATAAATTATATATGTAGATAGACTTGTTTCTTTACATAGAATATCAATTAATATCTAATTTCATTTCATTTACCAAATAGAAAACTACAAATACAAATAGTTACAAAACATTAAACATAAAAACTTACCAAAATAATACTGTATAAGGAAATTAAACGTACAAAAATAATACTGTATACATTAGAATTAAATTTGGTTTTGTTAAAGGAATTAAATGAGTCACTGGCTTACTGCTTACTAGTTTTAGGGAAGGAGAAACCGAATAGGGAAGTTAATGCAGCCGACATTTTTGACGACGAATAGTTAATTGGTTGTAATGTCTCTTAAACCGTGCATTACTTACAATTATTAAAGTATTTAACATCTTTGGAATATGGGAACACCTATCTTTAATAAACCAAAAAACATGGAACACTTTTTTTTTCTTTCAGTCGACAATAATTGTTTGAATTTTCAATTTTGGGTTTGAAATCTCTCGACTCTCGTAGCCTACGACTGTTCATGGATATCTAAATCAAACCTATAATTTGATATTTGTTAAACACAAGACGATGTTTAATTTGGTCCTTTGATCTTAATTAGAGCAAGTTTTATCTTTTGGTTAATCGTAGATTCTAAGTTCAAATTGTTACTCTATAATACACTGATCCGTGGTATAGTGATATTTTGAAAAATATAGTAACATACATTCTTATAGAGAAGAGAAATTCCAAATATTCTGAAATAAATAAAGGCTAATGGTGCAACACTATTAAATGTATTTTTATCTTAGCTATGGACTTGTAAGATAAATGGTTAGAGGTGATACTTTTAAGCTCGGACAAGCGATGGATCCGAGGTCCATCAAAGCCCATTTACAGATCTTGAGTTCAGTCCAATCCATTCATCTAGATTCATTCTATACTATGATCATATTACTTCTTAATTAATATTAACAACTTAGATTAGTAAATTAACTAGCTAAATGACTTCTCATTTTTTTTTAATGTATTTAGATTAAATGTAATTAGATTCTTTTACATTTAAACCAAATTACCACTCACATTCCACCAAATCATATGCTATTTAATAAAATAGCGCGATGCTTTTGTCAAACTCATGATATGATATGAATAAAGATAAATTGTTATTAACCAAAATAGGTTGTTTCATGGTTTGTACTTTGTAAACATGCATAATACATGTCGTTTAATGGATATATGATTGTGGTGTGATATTGCACACTTAATAATGTTGCATCACATATGTATCTCACAGGCGCATCTTGCAAGGTACAAAACTCATTTTTCTCATTTAGGGTATATCTTCGTCTCCCTCTCGTGAAATGTTTTGTACATACGTGCTGCAACAAAACTCAATGTAATCATGACGGCCATTGACCACAATGATTATCTATGAACAACTGGTAGCATAAACTCATCACACAACAAAAACATCAATCATAATTTCACCACAAGAGGAAACACCAGAAGATTATCAGTTGCTAGTTTCACAAAGATGATGTTTTTTTGTTTCGTTTAAAACAGGACCCACTTCATTTGGTCCTGTCTTCAGAAAGTTAAAAGGACACAGAGAGATGTCTATTGAATCATACATAGAAATTAAGGCAGATTTTTCATAAAGAGATAATTTAGTAGGTGGGATTTTCCGTTTAGCCCATGGCATACTTCTGAGTCCAGCTCCGTGCAGTGGACTCGTACTTGTTCTTGTCAGTCTTGTACATGTGAGCTATCTCGGGCACCAAAGGATCATCCGGGTTTGGATCGGTTAACAAAGAACAGATCGATAGCAGCACCTGTTCATTGCAAAGCAGTTCTTAGAACAGATCGAAAACAAACAACCATTTTTCATCCTCAATGAGTCTAAGCTTAATGCTTCAGAGATAGCTAAAATCCTCAGAGTTATACCTTCTAATGGGAAAAGATGAGCAAAAGAGGAGAAGATAACCGAAATGAGTCAAAGTTTAATGAAGACAGCTCAATGTTATCACTTCAACTAGAAATTGAGGAGCAAAAGCACGTGTGATAGATTATTGCTTCTGAAGCTGTTTTAATAGAGAGTATCTGCATATTGTTTGTTACGGTGGGTTTTCTAATGTTTACAGAAAAGAAGAAAAACCGAACCTTGGAAATGGTGAGTGCAGGACTCCACTGCTCCTTCAAGATGTCGAGGCAAATGCTACCGTTGCTGTTAATGTTGGGATGGAACACCTTGGTCCTAAAGGCCACCTAGATATCATCACACCCACCATATGAAGAACAATGAGATAATGAAGACCACAAAGAACATACAAGTTGCAGCAAAACATACTTAATAACAATTCTCAAAATATTGGAATCACCTTAGGAGGCTTGAATGGGTAATCTGGAGGGAAATGGATGGTTACAAGGAAAACACCTCCAGCATAAGGACTCTCTGAAGGACCCATTATCGTCGCCTGCCAGTGAAACATGTCTTCAGCAACAGGACCTGTACCAAAAAAAACACTCAAAATCAGAACAAAAACTCCTTAAAAACAAAGAGATTCAGGTTTTTCTTCACAAGTATAACCAGATCCCAGAAACTAACACAATGAAACGAGTCTAATGCCTTCATAATATCCATAACAGAGAAATAAACCAATTTTGTTCTAGCCAGATCTTAAAAGCAAAACGAGTTAGGTTTTGAAACTATTTGGCTAAATCAAGTACTTAGCTCGAGATCGGTAAAATACAACACAAAAACACACAAATCCAAGCATAAGAACAACCAAAGTCATACAAAAGCAAACAAAAAACCCGATCTATCCACACCAGCTCAGAGAAACCTCAAAATCTCAAAATCCAAACACAAAACAAGTACCTGCGCTACATGATGTAGGTGGATCCTTCTGAAGATCCTTCAATTCCTTCAAGATCCGCTTCGACGCCATATCCAAAAACCTAAAAAATCAAACAAAGATTCTAAAACGGATTCAGAGAAGCTATAAATCCGTGAGAATTATAAGTAACAGATCTAAGAATTACACAGAAAAAAATACCTTTGATTTTTCTCGCGTAATCGGATTGGCGATGTTTTCGCCTTTTTCTTCTCGTATTAGGGAGAAGAAGAACCAAGACTTGGGGGAAAGAAGAAAATAGAGATGGTGGTGGACGAAAGAGGAACAAAAGTTATTATTCTCTGTGCTCACGTCCACCATAAATAGGGTGGATTAATAAATACTTTCTTTGACTAGTGGACTCAAACCTTTTAACGCGGTGGTTCTTACTTAATTAAAAATATCAAGTGGTATTAAACGACATCGTTTGAATAAAGTCATCTAATCTAACGGCTGAGATCTTATCATTTAAATTCAAGGTAAAGTCATAGAGTCAAACGGCTGAGATCTTATCTCAGTAAGCCACGTCTTATCTCTCACTTTGGAGATTTTTTCAAGGCAGAATCTGAGAAAAAGCGAACCGATTCCGAGTCATCGTCGCCGGGAGGGGAATGGACCGGTTTAAGGAGCAACGAGGACCGAAGTTTGACGGCGACGAATCTCCGCGACCTGATTTTGATGGCGGAGATGAATATCGTAGTGTGGGGGAGGTAGACGGAGGAGATCAGACGCCATTCGCTGGAGGTAAAGTTAGGAGGAAAGCGTCTCGCTATAGAGAGCATCGTGGTGACTATCTCCATGTCTCTTCACGTCCTGGATTGATGCGAATTCTGGAGAAACAAGGTTTGATTGCTCCAAATTTTGGTTGTGATTTGATGAATTCGTTGAAAATTGTCTGTGATTGCTTCATTTGGTGAAATTTTCGAATACGTAATAGTTTGGTTGATATTTCATTATCGGATCTAGATGATTTGATGTTGGATGATCTTATGCTCTCTAGGTGCAGTAATGTGATCTTATCAAAAGTTTGCATTGTGAAATGAACTTGGAGGAATAGTTGAATCAGCTGTAAAATTGTGGCATCGATGATTTAGATTTTCATGTGATCTTTAATTTGCTAGTGGTTGGCTTCACCATATCAGCATTGTGGTTTAGATGAAGTTGCAATGTGATTGTGTATTGATGTTGATGTGATTATTTGTAATAGGTGATACGTCGATTCTTTTTGCTGATAAAGTTTTGAAGTTCACTGGCTCGGGGAAGATGAAAAGGCGTATTTTTATCCTCACTGATTTTGCGATCTATCTAATTGATCCGGAGACTGAAGCTATGACCAGGAGAATAGCCCTGGCAGCAGTGGAAAAGATGTGTTTGAGTAAATTGAGCGATAACTTCTTTGCTATCATTATTCCCACTGAGTATGATCTTTTTATGGCCAGCACTCGGAAGACTGAGCTTGTTCAGGTCATGGTAGATGTCACTAAAAGTGCATCTGACTATGAACTTGAAGTGCTTCTCTCTAACAGGTAACTAAGACCGCAATTTTCGGTTTTTGTTGTCTCCTCTTTGAATGCTAATACCATGCACATGAGATTTGTTTATTTTCATCTCATTTCCTGATATTGCATAGGTCTTGTGTTACTGAGAACTGATGTGGGTCTTTTTAGTCTCTGAAACTTAGTGAGATCTGTTTCTTAAGTGACTTGGCCATTAGTGGTGACACCAGAGGATCCACTTATACGTATTAACCATATCTATATTTATGGAACAAGATAAAGAATCTAACACTTTTAGGAGATAACTATTGAAATTATTACTGTGAGATACAAATGGTTACAAGTATATTTTAAATATTGTTAGATGACAGATTCTAGTTTTGATTGAAACTGTTCTCAAATGGCAATCAGGATAATAGTCTGTGGAAACTTTTTGTATATCTCCCATATTGTAAAACTCAGCTATTGGTTTATATGTGCAGTTTGTGTTTTATGCTGATAATGATTTTCTCCTTTTTTTCGTCCCAGATTTGAGTACAATGCTTCTGCCTCATTAGTAAAGGAAGTTTCTTTTGAGGAATCTGAAGGTTTGGATAAATAAAATTCTGAAACAATTTGAATTCATCGAAGTTTGTGCTTGTTTTCTTTGCTCATCAAGCTCTACCACTCCTTTTCAGGGGGTATCAAGACCAAATTTTTGTGGAAGTGACTACATCTCAAGTCTCAACTCTCCTCGCTGTTCATAAACTTTGGAGGGACCACTAGTAAGACTTGTTTCGACTTTCGAATGTGAATGGATTCTTTCATGTTGGTTACTAAAAGCTAAAATCAGGGCGGTATGTGTTGTTTGTTATATTCTGTATCGACTTTCGAATGTGAATGGATTCTTTCATGTTGGTTACGAAAAGCTAAAAACAGGGCGAGATTTAGTAGTTAATGTAAGGAAAACTAAATCAAAATTTCTATCTCGGGCTTCTGTGTTTTCCTTGGCGATAACGTTATTCTTGATCCTCTAAGCGCCAACTGACTGTGTCTCGTTCTAGCGCAGATGCCGAATATAGAGGTGTCCTTCTTGTTGAAGCAGCACTCTTCCTTGTTGTAAACACATGAATTCTTTAACAAAGTAGAAGAAGAAGATTACGACTATTTGAGCTTAGTTCAGGCCTGAAAAAAAGTCAAGGCCCAACCGTTTGTTTTTAGTTATATAGAACAAAGGGACGGTTATGTCCCAAAACCAGGGTAAATAGTTAAGAAAAATGATAAAGACTTTTTCGTACCTTGTTCAACCCTAAATCCCTACATCTGAAAATTATCTTTCGAGGGTCGGGAACCCAAGCAGTCGCTCTTGTCAAATCAACCATGGACGAATCCGACATGAAAGTAATCTTCTTCTCCTCAATTATGGATTTCTTCTTACGCTCTCTTTCCTTAACCTCTCTGTTCCTCTATTAATGGTTTCTTTCTTCACAAGAAAAAAGAAAAATATTTGAGTAGTAGAATTTCTGATTAGATCTTTTGTACCTTAAGGGTCAGGAATCGCTGGAAACAAACGATCGTGAACGGTAATTTCATTTTTAGTTTTTCTTTTTTTTTCTTTTTGGGGAACTAGATTTTGTCATGTTGATAATATAATCTCCTGCAATCAAATTGTAGGGGTAGCACAATTTCCGTTGAAGGATATGACACTTCGGTTCATGAGTATCCTCTCCAGCTCGCGTTAAGAAAGCATTTCGCTTCATGCGGAAAGATCCAACGTTTTCATATTTTCAAAGACTCTAAAAGGGTTTTCCTCAAGAGGTAGGTTTTTGTAGCTTCCTCCCTCCGAGAGCTCACTCATGTTGTTACAATTCAACACTCAAATACAACTATTTTTGTTTATTTTACAGTCCTCTCTTCATTAGTTTTTGGAAAGAAGAAGACGAAGGTGCCGTAGACAAGGCATTACAACTTAGTGGAAGTGACGTGGGAGGATGGAATGTAGTCGTTAAGGCTGCACCCCGCCCGGAAGGTGACTGTAATCCTCATGTGGGAAACCTCTGCCGTCGAGAACGCGAGTAAGTTCATTAATACTATTAGGATGTCCGTGTATCTGTTCTTGATTGTGATCATGCTCTATAATATAACTCTCTCCTGCAATTGAATTTTATAGTTTGCTGTTTTCGGTTTATGAAATACCTTCTTCGCTGTCTGAGATTGATGTCAAGATCGGGCTGTGTCATCTTTTCTCTTCATGTGGAGAGGTCACGGGTGTTGAAATTTACGCACACATTGATAACCAAAGGTTTGTAGCTTCTTCCTCCAAAGCTCTCTCAAGTTATTAAATTTCTAACCAAAAACTTGTCTCTGTTGAATTTTACAGCGAAGCTATAATTTCTTTTGTGGGAAAAGGATGTGTAGACAAGGCGCAGGAGCTAATGAATGGACAAAGCATACATAGCAACGATGGATGGAATATTGCACTTACTAAAGTTTTTCCCCCACTGCCCAAGAGCTTAAGAAAGCCTACTGGCTTTTTAAATCCATGTACATAAAATTTGCTCTTACTTGTTTTTTCTTTTTTTGCCAGCAACTCTTGCAAAGTTATAGCCTCTCATTAATTTCCTTGTTTATACTTTGTAGTATTTGGCTAAGATTGACAAGGGGAAGCAGAAGATGCAGAAGAAAACTACGGAGACGAAGAAGAAGCAGAAGAAGAAGCAGAAGAAGAAAACTTCGGAGTAGAAGGCTCTCTCTTTGTTACTAGAAGACAAATCCCTTTGGTATTTTTTTCTATTTAGTTTGTGATAGGGTGAATTAGTCAATTAGGTGAATAACCTAATTTGATTAGTTTTTTTTTTTTTGGTAGGATACCTATTTTGATTAGTTATTTAAGCATATACTTCACTTTTGTATTGTTAGAAATAAAGTAAGTAACACAATGAAAGCTAAAAAGTCTATTTTGGTCTTTATTTCAAGTGGCATCGAAAAACGGCGTCGTAGAATCTAACGGCTGAGATCTTATTCTTTAAATTTCAAATCAAGTCATATAATCGAACGGTGGAGATCTTTATCTTTTGATTAAACGAATCATTTGAAGCCACGTCTTATCTTTCACTTTGGAGTTTTTTTCAAGGTCAGAATCTGAGAAAAAGCGAACCGATTCCGATTCCGAGTAATCGTCGCCGGGAGGAATGGACGGAGGAGATGAAGATCGTAGTGTGGGGGAGGTAGACGGAGGAGATCACACGCCATTCGCAGGAGGTAAAGTCAGGAGGAAAGCGTCTCGCTATAGAGAGCATCGTGGTGACTATCTCCACGTCTCTTCGCGTCCTGGATTGATGCGAATTCTTGAGAAACAAGGTTAGGTTTTGATTTGATGAAATTCATACTGAGAAGCAATTGTGAATCGAAGAACTTGGAGGAATAGTTGAATCATGTGGTTGTGTATTGATGTTGAGAAGGTGATTCATTGTTGTTATAGGTGATACATCGATTCTTTTTGCTGATAAAGTTTTGAAGTTCACTGGCTCGGGGAAGATGAAGAGGCGTATTTTTATCCTCACTGACTTTGCTATATATCTAATTGATCCTGAGACTGAAGCTATGACCAGGAGAATAGCCTTGGCAGCAGTAGAGAAGGTGTGTTTGAGCAAATTGAGTGATAACTTCTTCGCTATCATTATTCCGACGGAATATGACCTGTTCATGGCCAGCACTCGGAAGACTGAGCTTGTTCAGGTCATGGTAGATGTTACTAAAAGTGCATCTGACTATGACCTTGAAGTTCTTCTCTCTAACAGGTAACTAAGACCGCCATTTCTGTTTAGTCTCTGAAACTTCGTGAGCTCTGTTTCTTATGTGACTTGGCTATTAGAGAGGATTATACCTATTAACCATATCTATATTTATGGAACAAGATAAAGAATTAACACTTCTAGGCGATAACTACTGAAATTAGTGCTTTGAGATACAAATGGTCACAAGTATAGTTTGGATATTGTTAGATGGCAGATTCTAGTTTTGATTGAAACTGTTCTCAAATGGCAATGACAGATTCTAGTTTTAATTGAAACTGTTCTCAAATGGCAATCATGATAATAGTCCGTGGAAACATCTTGTATATCTCTCATATAGTAAAACGCAGCTATTGGTTTATATGTGCAGTTGGTGTTTTATGCTGATAATGATTTTCTCCTTTTTTTTGTCCCAGATTTGAGTACAATGCTTCTGCCTCATTAGTAAAGGAAGTTTCTTTTGAGGAATCTGAAGGTTTGTATGAATAAAATTCTGAACAAGTATTTCAATTCCATCTAAGTTTGTTGTTAGTTTCTTTGCTCATCAAGCACTACTACTCTTTTATTCAGGGGGTATCAAGACCAAATTTTTGTGGAAGTGACTACATCTCAACTTTCCTTGCTGTTCATAAACTTTAGAGGGACCATTAGTAAGACTTGTTTCGACTTTTGGATGTGAATGGATTCTTTCCTGTTGGTTACTAAAAGCTGAAATCAGGGTGGTATGTGTTGTTTATTATTTCTGTTTTGTCTTGTTTTCTGTTCTTCCTTTGAAAGAACAATGTTGTTTTTATATGAAAAAGTGTTTTCTAATATTCATGTGTGAATTGAGTTCCTTTAATGGTCTTTCTTGAGAGTGACTGATCTGAAATATTGAAATCTTTTTCTGAATGGTCAAATACATTAAGGAAAGATGAATAGTATTTCTCATAGTATATACGGCGATCCTGATAGACTTCCAATTGGAGTTGTTGTTGCGCCTGTGGAAACCTCTGATCTGTATCCGCTGGCTAGTTTCTCTGGTCTTATCTCTTCCACCATTCTCACTACCTCAATCATGTTTGGTCTCTTCTCTGGTAATCTCGCCGTGCAAACCATACCAACCTGCAGCATCTCCACCATCTCTTCCTCTACTTGGGTACACCTCAAAAGCTCCTCATCAAACACCTCTCCGGTCCATTCTTCTCTTACCACCGAGTTCACCCACCTCACCAGGTTTGCCACTTCTGATTTTCCTGTTAGTACTTCGAATATCAAAATCCCGAAACTATACACATCCGACGGTTGAGTCCCTTTTCTTGTGTCTGTTATCTCTGGTGCTCGATAGCCAACTGCATGTCGGGGTAGAGAATGCATCAGTGTAGCCATTCCTGCTCCAGAGATGCAGCCATATCCTTTTGCGTTGAGGAAAATGTTTGAGGATTTTATGTTCCCGTGGACTAGTTTGCCTCCGCTTTGTGAGTGGATATGAGCAACTCCTCTTGCTGTTCCATACACCATATTCAGTCTAGTTTCCCATTCTAGAGGTTTCCGATCCCTAAGACCTCTCTGACCTGAATAGTTAAACGCACATCGATACACACATTGACCAACTTAGTAATGTAAGATATTGTATATGCTAAGGATACTCATACAATAGACTAACTGAGCCATCTATGCATTACTTAATTCAAATGGTTGCATTATCAACATACCGTGTAGCAATGTTGAAAGACTTCCATGTTCATAGTAATCATACACCACGAGCTTCTCATCCTTAGAGTAGAAATATCCTCTTAAAGTGGAAACATTCTCATGCTTGATGCTGCCAATATTTTCGATTTGCTGCTCGAATTCCCGCTGAGGTACACTCACTTCCTTGATCCTTTTCACAACGATGGTCGCAGAGTCCTCGAGATCAACCTTGTAGGTTGTCCCAAACGGGCCCTTCCCTAAAACTTCTGCAGAAGCTCTCAACAAGTCTTCTAGGTCAAAGACAAGATTCTTCCCTTCGAAAAACACAATCTTGTTATCTCTTTCACCCACGTTTGGATCTGAATCCTTCCTCCTCTTGCTAGGTTTTTCCTTTGTAGATCTTCTTTGCTCTTCTCTATTATGAATGATTACCAATAAGATAGCAAGCAGAGCTAGTATCGCAAAACACGCGCTTAATGCTATGCCAAGAACTGCATGGTTGTGATGTTTCGTGTGTTTCCTTAATGTTGAATGAACTGGAGCCAGCTTTCCGGAGGAAACTTTGTTTCCGACAAATGTTGAGAGTGGAAATCTCTGCAATGACTCTGGTACAGTTCCTGTTAGATTGTTGTGCGCTAAGTCGAGCAGCTTCAGACCGGAGATATGGAGATCAGGAATCTCACCCGAAAACTTGTTATAAGCAAGATTCAAAGAGTGTAATCGAGTTAGCTTCCCAATCGAAGATGGGATACTACCATTAAACCGATTATTAGAGAGATCAAGAACCGTTAGACTGTCCCAAGAAGAGAAATCAGAAGGCAAATGACCAGAAAACTCGTTGAAGTCGAGTTTAAGCTCTGTCAAGTTCTTCAAAGCTTGTAAAGTTGTAGGAAAAGGTCCAGAAATGTTGTTAGAACTGAGAATGAGAAACCGAAGATTGGTTAACCTGGCGATCATGCTTAACTCGATATGCCCGCGTAGACCCGAGGCTGCTAAATGAAGAGCGTCAACACTGGAATGATCGGAGTTGCAAGTAACACCGGTCCATTTGGTACATATGGAAAGACTTGGTGACCAGTTGAGTGAATGAGAGTGATTGATGTTGTTAACAAATTGAAGAAGAGTATGTTTATCTTCTTTGATTGTCTCTGCTTCTATGCAAATGTTGAAGATTACTCCGATGAGTATTAAAACAACTTGGCACTTCATTTTCTTTGGGTGGAGAAAAAACTGGTTTAAGGGTAAAGTGACGTTTATAATAATGGATGAAGATGAAGAAGTGAGATTAGTTAGATATATAATAACTTTACAATTATTGACTTTTGAGGAGCTATACTATATAGTAATAATTTTATTTAATCAGTGTATAATAACGAAAGTGGGTTGCTTTAGGTTAATGTTAGGTTCGGCGAGTTGTTGACTTGAGGCATAACAACTCTGTTTTTGTTTTTGTTTTTTTGTTTGCTGAGAAAATCACGGTGAAAGCAACTCGAATATTTCAAAGTTTTGTTACTTTTTTTGGAACAATATTTTTCAACATTTGAACAATTGATTTTTGGTGTGTAACCTAAGTCGTGTCTTGTAACAGTTGAAATTAGAAAAAGAGAGTTTCATGGTTCATGCTAGTTGTCGAGTCTATCTCCTTATCCACCCACCTTCCCCACACACAAACTTTTGAGAAAGAATCTATGAGATCAGAAGAAAGAGACATATTGGAAGTCATCTTTTATTCTCGTTGACTATGTTTAAAATGTTAGAAGTTAGAACTACATTGCTTGTGTTTTGGTTTAGGATGGTTTTGATATGTTAGGATTCCATCATAAGTTTCAAGAGACAACAGAAAAAGTTATTTAGAAGCTTTGATTTTTAAACTTGTATCTTCTCAAGACTAAATATGAAATCATGCATTATGGGGATTGTATAGTTATCTGAATTTCCGTATGATAGACAGAACATGTCGTAATCGAGTTCATAATATTTTAATGTTACAAAAATTCTATCAGAAAATCATTATTTTAGTTTGAGTCTTAGTTCTATAGTAAACTAGTGTACAAATCTTTTAAAAACATCAAGAAAGTTATAAAAAGGTAATTTGAGATTAAGAACAAGATATAATCGTAAAATAACCAAAGCTACTTTGATCCTGTGACTAACTAACATAATTAGCATAAAAAAGAATAGCGGAAAAAAGAAGTTAACTGATTTCTTCTACTTTGAACTAATCAGAGTAAAACAAATAGAAAAAGATCTTAACACATGTTTCCGCAACTTTCACATTTTTTCTTACTTCTCTTTTAAGCTTTTGTATTTCTACATTTTTATTTTATTTACACACCAATCACAGTCTAACTATAGTCTTTTACAATACTACATTTCCCAACTAAAAAATGTACTCATAACTACAACAACAAAACAACTAACGTATGATGATATCACCCAAAAAAACGGAAAATACATATAGCCAATATCAATTCTTTAAAATTAATCACCCTGCACCAAAACATTAACTCGAATCGATAAAAAAATATAACTGATCTCATCTATAGGGAAAGTGGTTGTCAGTTGGGATTTGGTCCAATTGGTTTATCTAGTACTCAAAAATGCAGACGGTCTGATTACTCTCTTGACATTAGTCATAAAGAACTCCAAACTCGGATCATGCAGTGCGGTGGTCTAATTCTGGATCTCATGGATCTCAGGAATCTCATGGTCCATTCGACCCGAGTCCACTCGAAGTTCATAGTGTCCGTTAAACCACGGGAATAGTTCACTCTGTAGCAATTTGGTGCGTTTCTACCGATACCGACCGGATCAGCCGATAGGATTTATTTAAAAAAAAAATGGTTGTCATTTGCTCTCTCAAGAATGTGTATGAAAATATATGGGCCTTTTAGGCCCAATCCAAGAAGACATGTCAAAAGCTGGGGAAGGATACACTAATCCTTATATCCAAACAGATCTCATCTTCTTCAAGACTTTCTTCATACGCTAATTTCCAATCTCCTTCTCTGCAAATTCTTCTTCAAACTAGAGAAAAAAACAACAACAATGGATTACGATTACAGAAACAAGTCTGGTCCATCATACCCTCGACCTATGTACGGACCTCCGTCAACATCTCCTTCTCCAGCATCTAACCATCCTATGTACGGATACCCTAAGATCGGTCAACAAACCGGTCACGGTCAGCAACTTTTCCCTCCGCCGGAGAGAAACTCTTCGTTTCAACATAACACTTCTCCCTCATGTAAGTCTGGTTCTGATCTCGAATTTAGGTTTAACGCGAATTTGATTTGTAGTTGATGATCGTTGATTTTGATTTTTGGTAGCTGGATTAGGAATCAAGGTGAATTTGAAGCCTGAGTATCGGATTACTCCGCCTGTAAGATTTTGTTTGAATTTTTCGATTGTTTGATCTTTAAACTCTGTGATTGAAGATTTGAAGTAGTTTACATTGTTTTTGAAAATTGTTGCAGCCTCAGTTGTTGCCTCGAGTTGGAGATATTCATCGGAGTAGTTTTCAGTTCGATTTCGGTTTAGAGAGGAAAGTTCTTGCTGAAGCAGAGAAGGATAATCCAGATTGGAGTAAATTCGGGAGCGATAATCCACCAGCTAAGTTTCTGGAACCAACACCTTCTTCAGTGGTAAGGATCTTTCAAATCTATGGAATCTTTTTAAAAGTTAGGCTGAGGTGAATTAATGGGAACAAAGTATAGTATCAATGTGAGCTTTAGGAAGAACAAGTGTGGATGATTATCGATGAATGTAATTAACGGGAACAGAATGGAAGCTTTGTAGAGTTACTGTGAGGTGATTAATGACATCAATGTGAGGTCTAGGAAGAACAAGTGTGGATGATTATCGATGAATGTAACTTAACGGGGACAGAATGGAAGCTTTGATGAGTTAGACTGAGGTGATTAATGGCACCAAACTATAGTATCAATGTGATGTTTTAGAAGAATAAGTGTGGATCATCTATGAATTCAATTAACTGAAGATTAGTTTTGTTTTGTATACTACTGGATGCGAATTGGGTGAAGATTTGTGCATTACAGTGTATGATCCTTATATTTGCATTATCATCGTTAATAAGTGATTCCGAATGCAGGGTGTAGATCCTGTAGTGATGAAATATGCTGCGTCTGGGCTCAACAGAGAAGCTGTCAACATTGCAGTTGCAAACTATGGTGATAATCCCACAAAGGTGCTTTATCATAATATCTTCACTATACATTATATTCTTGTATTAGCTGATTAAGCTGCACAGGTTCTAATTAGTGGTTATAGCGATCAACTATACTTTTGAGTCCATAGTTTAAAACTGTGATCAACCCTTCAGTTAAACCTTTGTGGTTCTTTGAATTGCCAGCCATCTTGCTTCTTCATTCTTTCCTCAAAGGAGAATCTAATCACAGTTTTTACGCGTTTCAGGTTCAAGAATTTGCAAATGGTTTCACAGCGATACGGGAGATGGGATTTCCAACAAACTCAGTCGCAGATGCTCTGTTCATGTTTGAGAACGATACCGAAAAAGCATTGGCACATTTGCTCCATGGTTCTTCCTAAATTTAGCTTTCAACTTTTATCCTATAGTTTATTCAAGTAAACATCAAGTTTGATAACATAAAGATTGATAAAGTATAGATTATTGGGTTCTACTTGTGTAAATGAATGATTTTTTCTTTGGGAGTTAACGTTTGTCGGTAAGAATATCTAAGCCCACATCCAAATCCTAGACTTTTGTATAATGCAATGCCAATAAAATGGCAAGTTTAGAATACATAGAAAAAATCAAGTGTGTAATTAGCCTTTCTCAGACAGAGATCATTTGTTCTTCTTTCTCTATAAGCACCAAAGAGCAATGCCTCGCACTTTGGATTCGTCTTTGGTTCTACTACACTCCTGCGCATATAGCTTCTGAAACGTATGGAAATCAATTAGATACATGTCAAGCAATATGATTCAATTATATCTACGTTGAAAACTCATGACATAAATTTAAGTACAAAAGCAGTAGAAGCTAAGTCATATACCTGAGGACCACGCAGAACAGCAGAACTTTCCTTCATCTACATGCTTAACATCAAGACCAACGAACCATGAACCCGTGCTGACGTCATCATGAGCATACGAATGAAGAATGTCTCTGTCACCATCCCATCATCATCATACATAACAAACACAAAAACTCAGTTTCAATCTTATTTCTCTGTTTGCGCGGTGTGAGTATCTGAAAGATATGTGTCATCACGCGTAGTTGAGAGTTGAAAACTGACCTATTGATCGATACAAATCTAGCCAATGCGTGCGTTATAACATACATCTCCCCATAAGCATGCCGGAAGTATCTGTAAGATAAATGGTTCCTGGTCACATTTGAAGAAATGAATCTAGTGGATGCATTGTTTTGATTATTAATATAACTTACGCTTTCTTGTCACCGAATTTCCACCACTCTGGTTCATACCATTTGTGGTTCCTGCAAGAAAAGCAAAACTTAAGTTAACATTATATCAGACTGATAAAATCCTGACGATTCTAATTGTGGTACTGGGTTTAATCTTAATTCTTAAACTCACGGTTCTGAGAAAACTTCGCCTGATTTCATACAACCGATGTAAGCCCGTGGGTTTTCCAGATGTGCTGCAAGCGTACTTCCCAGAGCATCTGCATAGGATCAATTACATTCATAGCACATAATCATGTCAGCAAAATGCTTACATGGAAACTCTTTGACCTTAGAACTTTCACAACAGGGGACTAAAGACCTTTAGAGTGGCATAAAACTTTTTTTTTGCAAGAACATCATGCTCTGTATTTTACAGACTAATAATTCTAACTGTGAACTTCTCAATTTAATTAAACAATGTTCTATTTGAACAGTGTAAAACTTTTGGATACTCATTAAAAATTCAACCAAGATACATACTGATGTTGGAAACCAATAAGAATGACATCGACAATCAACTAAATTATCCATATTTACAATCAATCCAATAAACACCAACAACCAAAGGTTTCGACTGTAAAATACTCTTTGTAGTACTAACTTACCGATATTTACATAGATATTGTCGATGGCCTTGGCATAAAACTGTGCATCCCACCTATCTGCAGCATAAGCAAAGAACAGTTTTACCTTCTTAGAAGCTTCCTCGGGTGCCTCAACTACATTATCCTGAAAACCAGTAAATGGCCAAGCTCTCAAACTAACACAGGTAAGCTGATAAATGAATGCTTGAGGTAAAAAATATAGAGAGAATCAAAAAACACATACGAGAATTATGAAGTCATCGGTTTGACTATTTTCAGCATCAATGCTCTTGTCCATGCTGTCCCCTTTATTTGCACTACATAACACAAAAATAACGTTTCAAACCAAGATGTCAATACCGTATAATCATCTTTAAACGCATAGATACATCAAAGAGTGATAAACCGAATCCAAACCTTCTTCCAATAACAAAACGTGCAATCACACCCTTTTCACTTTCAAGTTTTTTTAGTGATGCACCTGCAATAAAATGACATGCCAAGCTCACAACATCTGCAAATAACAGACTGGTATCTTACTAAAACACGAATAAGAAGTAACCCTACCCGTCCCCATCCATGCTTGACGAACTGCATCCCTCTTCTTCTTGTTACCCAAACTAGTCATTATACCGATAACCACTAACGGTCTTTTCTTAGTTTCAGTTCCATCAATAAGTTTGGGACTTTTTGAAACAAAGCCTTCTTGCCTTGCTGCACTTAGTTCCATCTCAAGAGCTGCTAATGTCTTCTTCTGTTCCCTAGAAAGAAAAGTCTTTGTTCAACAAAATAATCCAAACGAAACCAAAATCGGACAAAGTACCAATCTTTTACCTGCAAGCTATGATCTTCAAAGTATCATCCACTGATATAGCAGATTTTCCCTAAACCCATCCATCATAAGCATTTAAGTACATTACACCAAAGCAAGACAATAATTGCAAAGGTAATAACTTTCTGACATGACAATACTCTCTCTGCTGTAATGAAAGTGACAATCAAATACTAACCTGTCCGGTTACTCTATCAAGCTCCTTGATTAGATGAACCCTAGTTTGAGATTCTTGCCATAAACTATCTCAAAACACACAGAGACGAGGAATAAGAATCAGAAGAACACAAGTTAGAGCAAAGGATAAATATAGATTTAAGAACTAACCGGCCTGCTACATAGAAGGAAGCGAAAGTTGCAAACATGGAAAGCAAAAGAGAAGATATTCTCGAGCTCGATAATCTGATACTCGATCCTTTCCTCGCCATTTTCACTCCAATTGAAACAGATCCAAAATCAGATCTCTTAATCAAAGCAATCAGACGTCAATGCGTCTTCACTATCGATCTTTCGATCCAATTTCACTAATCAACTATCCAGAAATCGAAGTTTCGTCGTCAGTAAAAGAACAACCGATGAGGAATTCCGGTGATGATTCACCAGCGGAACAATGAACCGGAGAAACGGCGAGATCACTCACTTCGGTTATTATTTTTGAATCTTCCGATGAAACTCGTTGAGAAAATTGAAATCTGGCTTGGAAAAATCAGAGAGATAAGAAGAAGAGAGTGCCGTTGAGATTATCAGATTAATTTTTGGGGCTGTGAATTTGTGTGATCTTCTTAATTACTAACACAGATCAATTACCAAACCTAGTCTCTGATGCTAAACTCTATAAAGTTAATAGTTAATTTCGTCGATAAGAATGTTTATTTGGAGTTGTTTAATTTAACATCACTTTTTTGCTCAAATATCACTTTTTATCTAACAAAAGAAATCTTCTTTTGGTGTTTTACGGTCGAGATGCAAACGCTAGTGCCGATTCTTTGGTGTTATGAAACTTTGTTGGATTGTACTATTCCTGAGAAAACGTCTGACTTTCCTATGAACTAAATTGCTTTGTATATATTATACGTAAAAAACCACACGAACTAACATTGAATTTGAATATACAACAATCAAAACAAAATCGAAACCAACAACTTTGCAGATATTGTTAACGAATCGTTATCAGCTTGTTGATTAGTATACCACGACTGCATTTTACCTATTGGACTCGGATCTCATTGAAAGACGTCTATGTTGCCTTTTTAAGATCCCTAGTCAAAAAAAAAAAAATTGTTGCATTTTTTTATTTACCATCACAACACCGTGATAAGACCATGTGTTCTTTACTCAATAGTTATGGTGTTGAAAAGTTTAAGTGGTTCTCGATTATCTTACGGTTAATTTAGGAGACCCTTGAGTCTTGACAAAAACATTCGTACTTATACGGAGAAAGCCAAGTTTTACTCTCTTGTTATTGTTAATTGTGTTAAAATCCGTTTCTATAGATTGTTATACGAGAAGAAGTTTTTTTCGATAGCTTCGAGAGAAGATATATTTGGTTTATGCAATGTATTCGATTTTTTTTTTCTTTTTCAGTTGTAGGATATGAAAAGATCATTGTGTTACTCTATAATTTTTCTCTTGTGATTTTTAACCTTCCCAGTGAAAAAAAACTATCATGTGTTTTTTGTTACCCGGCGGTTGAAAAAAATCTGCTAAAGAAGTTCAAGACGACGACGTTTAAAAAACCATGGGCCGTCAAATGCTCTCGTCAAACTCTTACCAGATGATTGATTAGATATTCTTCTCTCTTCCATTTTTCCCCTTTCGAATTTGCATTTCCGTCGGCTCATCATCCTTTTCGTGTGCTTCACAACTTCATCTCTCTCGCGTCACCAATTCAAAACCCTCTACGCAAAGTTTCAGTTTTTATTTAGTTTTCTTACATACCCATCAAACCCAAATCCTCGATCGGATTATGTTAATCAATTGCTAATACCTTTCTCCGACTTCTTCTTCTTCTTCGCAATCCGCCATGGCCGCGGCTTTAAGGTCGAATACGTCAAGAGAAACCGCTTCTCTCACACTTTCTCAGTTTAGATACTTCTTCTTCAACCGTATCCACACCGCTCGAACCGCCACGAGTCCTCAGTGTAATCACCGTTCTAAATCCCCCAATAAAATTTCCTCGCTTGGGACGAGTTTCTTGGATAATCGAGGAGGAGAGAGACGTAATTCGACCAAGTGTTATGCTTCACAGAAGCTCAACGGTGTTGGTTCTTCTGTTGTTATGCTGAGCTCACAAGGAGACCCACCGGATCTATGGCAGCCTCCGGGTGATGGAGTTTCTGTTAGGGTTAATGGGTCAAGTGTTAATTTGGGTCGTGGTGGTGGTGGTGGTGGAAGTAGTCCTGGTGGTCCTGGTAACGGAACTGGGTCGAATTCGAAAGAAGATTGTTGGGGTGGATCCAATCTTGGGTCTGATTTTCCGACACCGAAGGAGATTTGTAAAGGTTTGAACAAGTTCGTGATTGGTCAAGAGAGAGCTAAAAAGGTGAAATGATTATACTTTGATGTTGTTGGTATCAACCTGAAATGACTTTGTAGATAGTTCATGAATTTATAGTAGCTCAATTTATAATTTCACATTTGGTTTAGATATTGGAAATATTTTAAGTTCTTAAGGCATTCTTGTGTCATCTCGTGGATGCAGGTACTTTCAGTGGCAGTTTACAATCACTACAAGAGGATACATCACGAATCATCACAGAAACGGTTAGTTCACCTCTTATTTCCTTTACCTGAGGATATCCTAGTTTTCTCTTGCACATGCATTTTGTATCCGGTAAGAGATTGTTAGTTATGATGCTGATACCTTTTGGGAAGCTAGGTCTGCGGGAGAAACCGATAGCACTGCAGTGAAACCAGCAGATGATGATATGGTAGAACTAGAGAAGAGTAACATTCTCCTGATGGGACCAACTGGGTCAGGTAATTTTCTGACCCCAATCTGCAAAAATAAATACACATGCCTGATTTCAGCTACTTTCTTACAGTTTATTAGTTCAATCTAGCGTGGTTGTGAAACAAAATTTCAGCTGTCTCACCTCATTTGTATTGGGGTTTTCTTCAATCACAGGGAAGACTCTACTTGCGAAAACCTTGGCACGGTTTGTGAATGTTCCTTTTGTCATTGCGGATGCAACCACACTGACTCAGGCAATTCTCGTCTTTCTTCTAGTCTATTTGGCGCATGTCCTTTTCATGATGACCAATCTGTGACATTCATTTATTTTTGTTCGGAAATGAAATGATTTGTCAGGCTGGTTATGTGGGAGAGGACGTCGAGTCTATATTATACAAACTTCTCACAGTAAGCTTCTAAAACCCAAACGTTTATATTCGTATACAAACTACAATTGATTTCTATATATTGTTAGTAATGTGGGGATTTGATATCTCTGGCCAGGTTGCAGATTATAATGTTGCAGCTGCACAGCAGGGGATTGTTTACATTGATGAAGTCGACAAGATAACAAAGAAGGTTAGAACTAAATAATAATTTTTTCCTCTTGCTGGTTTGGAAAACTTGGATATTTTTTCCCGTACTTAGATGAATTTTGTTCTTGGACCTTTTGGTTACCAGGCAGAAAGCCTTAACATCAGCAGAGATGTATCAGGAGAAGGTGTTCAACAAGCATTGCTAAAAATGCTGGAAGGAACAGTAAGTTTACAGTTTAGATAGCCGCAAAAGTCTTTAGTAAATTGTAGACTTCCCATGTATTATTTGCTTTGAGATCTCTGCTAACTAAGATAACAAGACTTCTCTTGTGTTTGATGCCCAATTTCCAACTCTCTCTCTCTGGATATAGATTGTAAATGTACCTGAAAAGGGCGCTAGGAAACACCCTAGAGGTGACAATATCCAGGTTTGTCGAGCTTACTCTACTCTACTGTGTATGTTCTGGCTTGCACCTTGCAAAAAAAAAGAGGCTATGCACATGTATTTATTTTATCATGAAAATGGGTCAATATTGTTATCATACTCTATTGTTATTAATTATGTAGACAGAAGAGATTTCCAATTTAATGTTCTATGCATAATGATTGAAGTGTTAGGGTTTAAAATTTTTAATCGACATAGTTTCTTGTTGTCTTATCAAAGAGTTGATTAGGTGTCTCCCCTGTTAACCATCTGTTTCTTACTCGGGGTCTTGTTGACTATCTGCAGATAGACACAAAGGACATACTCTTCATATGTGGTGGTGCTTTTGTAGACATTGAAAAGACTATCTCAGAGAGGTCTGACTGATGAACATATTTCAAAAATCCCACCTTTTTTCTTATTCTCTAACTGAATTGCCTTATAAGCGTCTGAGTGTTTTTTTTTTTTTTGGTTCCAGGCGCCATGATTCTTCAATAGGGTTTGGTGCTCCTGTACGTGCTAACATGAGGGCTGGTGGTGTTACAAACGCCGCTGTTGCATCAAACCTAATGGAAACTGTAGGTCTATCCATTTCTTCACCCACCAAATGTTGGGGATTCTTCTACTTGTTTTGGTTTGTATCCAAGTTTATAATGAGATGTTCGGTGTTGGCAGGTGGAAAGCAGTGACCTGATTGCTTATGGTTTAATACCTGAGTTTGTTGGAAGATTTCCAGTTCTCGTCAGTTTGTCTGCTTTGACTGAGAACCAACTTATGCAGGTAATATGATTGCAATAAATTTGTGACATTGTGATTCTCTCATTACTCGAACATGTTCATAGAATAAGCAATAATATCATTGGATTTCAGGTGTTGACAGAACCCAAGAACGCTCTTGGAAAGCAATACAAAAAGATGTATCAGATGAATAGTGTAACTACTTTTCTCTCTATCTCTCTATCTCTCTCCTTCTGCTCCAAACCTTGAGACAAGTCTCCATCTTCTCTTTCCTCAGGTAAAGCTGCATTTCACGGAAAGCGCACTGCGGCTTATAGCTAGAAAAGCAATCACGAAAAACACGGGTGCTCGTGGCTTAAGATCTCTTCTAGAAAGCATCCTCATGGACTCTATGTACGAGGTAAGTACACCTCTTATTACTTTCAACCCCATTTTGCTAAAAGTCCTCACTCAGACGGTTTTCACATTTCTGCAAAACATTTGTTTTTCTCAGATTCCGGACGAGAGTACAGGCAGCGATATGATAGAGGCGGTTGTGGTGGATGAAGAAGCAGTTGAAGGAGAAGGGCGTAGAGGCTCTGGAGCTAAGATTCTCCGTGGTAAAGGAGCATTGGGTCGGTATCTCTCTGAAACCAAATCCAAGGATTCCCCACAGGTAAAACCGAGAGAGCATTCCCGATTTTAGTTAACCAAATAACAACCTTCGGGGTTGGTTTGATAACCTCATTATCTGAACTGATGGGCTAAAATTGTTGCAGACGACAAAGGACGGATCAGATGGAGAAACGGAGGTGGAGGCGGAGATTCCATCTGTTGTAGCAAGTATGTAATAATGATCACCATCATCATCATCATCCAGAACATCATCTGGTGAATGTATCTTTGTATGCATAATTTACCGTTCTTTGTACATAAATGAAGGAAAGAAAAACAAACTTGGATAAGAAAACACAAGGATGCACAATTTGCACATTGATAAATGATGATGTAACTTTTATCTTATGCAATCTCCCATCTTTTCATTGATGTATCTTACTTAATTCAAGGTTCTCTGTGAAAAATCACTATTGAAACAAATAATCAATTCTCTTGAAAATCAATTTGCTATATATTTTGCAAATTCTAGCTAGGTCAATAAATTCAAGAAGAAAACGCTCTTGTAACAAATAATCTCTTTAGGAAAATTCAAACACACATGGGTCAGATTCTAATAACCGTCGGATTAAAACCCAGAAAAAGCTTTAAATCTGGACGGCTATATTTAATTCCTCAAACTTTTTCTCTGGAAGAACAAAAAAAAAGATGAAACAAGCCAACGAAGAAAAGCACCTCTTTGGCGCAAACCAGTGAGACACAGAGAGAGAGAGAGAAAGGGAAAGTCTTGTTTGATTTTCCGGGAAAATTCCAGTTTCCTTTTTCTCTCCCGTTCTTGCTCTTTTGATCTGCGTGAAAAGAAAGGCTTTTTATCAAAAAAAATCCCAACTTTTTTTGAGTTTAGGACTTTTTGACATTCAAAAATTATGGTGTTAATGGAGACAGATAGTAGTATCGATTGCTTGATCGATAACGATGAGATCCATCACAACCACCAATTCTCATCAACCAAGTCTCACGGCGGAGCCACCGTTGTAATCTCTCCGGCGACGAGCGTTTACGAGCTCCTTGAATGCCCAGTCTGCACCAATTCAATGTACCCACCAATTCATCAGGTTCGTATCTCATCATCATCTCGTAACATTGGAGAGAAAGATCTCATCGAATTGTGTTGCTTCTTACTGAAATAAAGTTCCAATTTTTATGATTTTGGTCAAATTGTGTATTTAACATTGCTATGGTATGTTACAATTGAGGTTCTTGAGGGTTTATATGGATGTTTTGATATATGTATGTTGGTTCTTTTGTAAGTTAAGTGAAAAAGGTTTTTCTTTTGTAGTGTCATAATGGACATACGTTATGCTCGACCTGTAAATCAAGAGTGCATAATCGGTGTCCGACGTGTAGACAAGAGCTCGGAGATATTAGATGTTTAGCTCTTGAGAAAGTAGCTGAGTCGCTTGAGTTACCTTGCAAGTATTACAATCTCGGATGCTCTGGGATTTTCCCTTATTATAGTAAACTAAAGCATGAGAGTCTTTGTAATTTCAGACCTTATAGTTGTCCATATGCTGGCTCGGAGTGTGTTGTTGTAGGTGACATTACTTTCCTTGTTGCTCATTTAAGAGATGATCATAAAGTCGATATGCATACTGGATGTACGTTTAATCATCGTTATGTTAAATCCAATCCACGAGAAGTAGAGAACGCTACTTGGATGCTAACGGTTAGCATTGTTCACGCTTATGATTTACGAGTTCTTCAGTTGTGTGAGATTCTGAAGGCTTTTTTTCTCTGTCATATTGTTTTGTAGGTATTTCATTGTTTTGGACAATACTTTTGTCTTCATTTTGAAGCGTTTCAGCTCGGTATGGCTCCAGTATATATGGCGTTTCTTAGATTCATGGGAGATGAAGAAGATGCACGAAAATACATTTACAGCTTAGAAGTTGGAGGCAGTGGGAGAAAACTCACATGGGAAGGAACACCAAGAAGTGTCAGAGATAGTCACAGGAATGTCAGAGACAGTCACGACGGTCTTGTAATCCAAAGAAACATGGCACTCTTCTTTTCCGGTGGAGAAAGGAAAGAACTGAAACTTAGAGTCACCGGAAGAATCTGGAAAGAGCAACAGAATCCAGATTCTGGTGTTTGCATACCAAACCTCTGTGTGTAGCTGAATCAAAACCTGCCAACTCTTCAAACCTATCTTCAGGTGTTCGATCTCTTCGATTCGATTTAGCTTTGGGTTTGTGAGTCTTTTTTGGTCCAGACAGCTTGTCGTTCAAAAGTGTGTTTAGAGAAGAAAAAAGAGTTGTTCCATCTGCCAGAAATGTGCAGACAGGTCGCAAAAGTTGCAATCTATACAACTTCCAAAGATTGAATCTTTCCATAAATGTATATATTTATATTGTAAGATCTGAGCAAAGAATCTAAAGCAGTTAAAAGAGAACATATTCAAATCATAATCATTATTTCATTCAAGAAGGTGTCCTGTCATTACAATAAGTACACTTAAAATGGCTTATGGACTATATTGCAAATCTTGAGTTTGTACATAAAATCTTTCGTATACGTTACATACAAGCTGAGACAGTCTATTGTGACAACCCAGAGAAGAAGGCCACGCCAGTTGATGGCAGCCACGAAGAACCAGAAATGAACTGAGCCACCGTAAACTTGCTAGCCTCGACCGTTGAGGTAATAACATGATAACCCGGCCACTTGATTCGTTGACCCATTCCTGAACCCGGCCCTTTGTTCATATACTCACCGTAGTACAACGTGTCCAACGCAAACGGACCGTTCCACTCCAACCATCCTCGCGGGTCAATGTGGTCGCCCATATCCGACATCATGTACACAACTCTAGAATACAACTTCCACGGACGGCCGAGATAAGTCGGATAACTACCCTTAGAGGCTTCAAGATCCGGCGTAGCAAGTAGCTTACAAGCGTGAATCGAAATCCCCGTGTTCTGATTCGGATCTTTTCGGTTCTGAGCCGTGATAGTAATCTTCTGCTGAGCCATCGGTTTACGCGCATAGATGTTACAACTCTGTAATATCACAGCTGCATTCCCGAATATAAAATCGACCGTTCCATAAATTTCGCATTCGCGAAAAAACTGTCGGTTAGAATGTACATAAAGAGCGTCTTGGTAACCGATAATGTTGCAACGGTAAACCACCGCGTGGTCTCCACCAACACGGAGTGCCACGGCCTGATGCTTAGCCGGTCCGGCGTAATTCTCAAACGTTATGTCCCTCACTATAAATCCAGCACCAGTCGCAGCTACAACAATACATAAAATCACTAATGAATAATCTTTAAAAGAAAACAGAACAAAAAGTTTTTTAAAAGATCAATCTTGATACCGAAAGTTGCGGTGTGAAAAGTAGTTAGATCATCGGCGATGCTTTTTCCACCGGTTATGACCGTTTTACCCTTGCCGTCACCGATGAACATCAAGTTTGTCTTCTTCCTCCCAACTTTCAGATTCTCTTCTTCATATCTTCCTGATTTAACGTAGATGACGAATCTACGGCTACTATGCTCCGGAGCTTTCTTGATTGCTTCCGCGATCGTCTTAAACGTTCCGTTACCGTCTTTCGACACCGTGATATCAGCCTGAATCGCTGATGTCGGAGTACCAAGAAGCTCTCTGTCTTCTCTCTTCAACCAATTAGGTAATTCCTCTGTTTCTTCAGTCCCAAGTAACTTCCTATTATTCACCACCGGAACTCCAGACAAATCTTTAACTTTTCCGGCGAATATCGCCAAACAATTACTCACCATCTCCGATAAATCTTTAACCGCTCCGATCACTTGATCCTTGACTCCTCCTCCTTGACCTTCAGTTTCATCAAATCCGTCCGTACAAGTGTCGTGGTTAGTCATCGCAGAGCTAAGCCACGTCATCACATCGGAATGAGACTCATCTCCGGAGACAACAACGACGGAGGAGAGAGCGCGTGTGAGCGCGTCGACTGAGTCATCAAGTAACTCAAGGCAAGAATCGTAAGCTGACCGTACACGTGGCGGCATCTGAGTGTATGTGATCGTCGAAGAAGTATAAAGAGCTTTGGTGAATCTTTGAAGCGTTGCGTTGAATGATATGTGAATGAGTTCGTTCTCGTCGGCGGTTAAAGATCCCGGAAAATCAAGAAGTGTGTCGATACATAGGTTCGGGTATAAGGATTTGCTACAGGTTCGGGAGATTGCTTGGGTCGGTTTACTGGTTAGTTTCGGCTCGGTTTTACCCGAGTCTACGGCTCGGATGCCGGCAAAGATACCGAAGCAGATCACTCCAACGACTAAAACGGCCAAAGTGAAGAGAATCAGCTTCGTTTTAGTTTTCTTCTGTAGCTCCGGGAGTGACGTGGCAGGGATCTTCTGGTTCGGGTCTGATGGTCCGGATGGACCGAGCCTATCGTAACCCATTGTCGTGTTTTTTTTTTTTTTTGGTTTAGAAGAGTTTGTTATGGGAACAAAGATGATGTGGAAGGCTCTATAAATTATTATATAGAAGAAGCTATTTAAGAATAAAAATGTTATGCGTTATGTATAAAACTATATATATGAATGTGTCAATTTCAATATATATTATGCCTGATAGCTGTAATATTTTAGTCATATTTAATTGAAATGTAGTATTCAAAAAGGACCACAAAAAAACAAAAATTGTCGATGGCTCTAAGTCTCTAACGATTGATATGTAGTAGATGTACGAGTATTATGTGAGTGTAATCCGCATCTCTAACGACTACATCATTAAATTTTTATTTTGTTTTTCATAAGAAAATCATTGTAGCAAATTATATACTCCCTCCGTATTTTAATAAGTGTCGTTTTAGGATTTTCATTTTTTAAAAATTAGATGTCGTTTTCAAATTTCTATGCAAAATTTCTTACTTTTTAATGTTTTATGATGTCATAAAACATTAAAAAGTAATAAATTTTGCATAGAAATTTGAAAACGACATCCAATTCAAAAAAGTAAAAATTCTAAAACGACACTTATTAAAATACGGAGGGAGTAGTAACTAATAAAACCTAATTCATTTCTATAATAGAATCGCAAATGTCTATTTACGATCAACTAGTTGGTGCTTTTGAAATATTATATTATATGATTTGGAAGAGTTTTCTACTCACCTAACGGTGTCGGTGCTTTTTTTTCATTCACGGATATTTGTTTCTTTCTTAATCTCGTTTTCTTTCACTAATTTTTTTTTTTGTTTTTAAGTATAAAAAGTTTTTGTATCGAAATCCATAGTCACTTCAAAAAGGTCTTTAAAACTCTTCTTTTTGGACAACAAGAAGAAATTCACCGGTTGAGTTAACGACTTGGGTAAAATAGGTAAAAACACTCGAATTCACCTTACATGATGGATGTTCCTCTATACCAAACCAACATGAGTCAAGTGACAACAATTTCCCGCAAACCTACTATGGATTAAACACCAATTCGAACATTAATCCAATTCACGGTTGCATGGGGCTCGAGTACCGTCCGATCAATATGGGCTTAGAATAAAAAAACTGCTAAATACTTACAAGCGTATACGTACAAATTACAATGAGTATAGGAAGAGTCAAGGTCGTTCATATTGTCGAAAAGCCTTGATGGGACAAATCTACATCGTCCACCAACTTGAGCCCCATAGAATTAAAATGGAATAGTCATTGAGATAGACTTCTCTACCAATAAAACATACACATAGTCATTGAGCCCCATCCACACAGACACAACAAGTTTGGCCTTGATTCAAGATCCTTAGAAGGTGTTTATGCCACCTTTTTTTACTTTCATGTGGATATAGTTATCAGAATTACATAATGATTATTGTTTAAAGTAATTTGGCAGAAGAACACTAAAAATACCCTTTTTGTTACGGTATGTTTGATGTTTAAGTCAATGTTTTTGCCAAAACAAAAAAAGTCTAAAGTCACGCGGTGAACTAGATGTTGATATGATAGAATTCTGTATACGATGTGTAGCTATTTAGCTATATAGCTTAATGATAACAAAATTAAAGGTTGGGTACGAAGTCAATGTCAATAAGAGAGTGAGCTGTCCTCTACCATAAGTCTTCTTCTGTCCCTTAACCTCTTTTTCCTTTTTCTTATCTTAGCATTTTGTGCTTTGTCACCAAAGTTCTATTTCATGAGACCACTCACACATTCTAGCTAATGAATGATTCTTGTTGTTGCAATTACTTTTAACAAAAAGGTCTTATGTGGTTCATTGACGCATTTGTTTATTACACACTACCGTCTAATTTATTAAGGTACATTGTTATCATATCAACAATTTTTTGGAAATCCGTTTGTAAATTATTTCCATTTAGAATTAACGTTAGAATTAACATAAATTAAGCATTGCTAAGAATTATATAACGTACCATAAATCAATTCTTTTGTAAATTTTGTACAAAGACACATGTCCATGTGTCACTCAATACATGGACGTGCATGCTTTGATATCCATTAGTGGCAGTATATAGATAAAACTGAATATTGCTTTTTAACGTCATGGGTTACCAATCAGGTTATCATTAGTAGACTTTAAAGTTTTCTTGAACAAAGACCTTTAAAGAAATCACTCTTCTTTATTGATGTTTAGTAAAACTCTCTCAAAAACTAAACACAAGCTCTCAATGTTCTCTAAAACTCTTAGGGTTACATCTCAACCCTAGAGATGTATTTATAGGGATAACACAACTCATTAACCCTAGTTACATATCTTGTTAACTCTAGTTAACATTAGGATAAGATAACTCTTTAATCCTAAAGAAGTTTCTAGACCTATCTTATTTCTAACCTCCTTATAGAAACATCTTGGGCCTTAAGAAACTTGAATGTTTACCCAACATTTACCCCCTTAAACTTCAAGTCATTCTTTGAGAGGTCTTCAACACCGATCACACTTCTCATTTCTTTGAACTTGGTTCTTGCTAGGGCCTTTGTTAGGATGTCAGCTCGTTGCTCTTCTCCGGGAACAAAGTCTACTTCAATTTGCTCGTTTTCAACGCATTCTCTGATGAAGTGATAACGTTTGTGAATGTGCTTGCTTCTTCCGTGAAACACAGGGTTCTTAGTGAGCTCTATTGCTGACTTGTTGTCAATGTAAAGAAACGTCTTTACAAAGCTTTGTCCTGTTATCTCGCTGAGCAGTTCTTGTAACCACAATGCTTGCTTGGCAGCCTCTGTTGCGGCCATAAATTCTGCTTCACAAGATGATAAAGCAACTGTTGGTTGCTTCTGTGAACACCACGTGATAGGCGACTCTCCATAATAGAAAACATGACCAGTTGTGCTTCTCCCATCATCGGGATCCACATTATGGCTACTGTCACTGTATCCTATAATCTTCTTAGTCCCACCTTTCTTAAAAATCAAACCATGCGCTAAGGTACCTTGTAAATATCTCAGGATTTGTTTCAATGCATTGCCATGAGATTCTTTTGGATCCTGCATATACCTGCTTACAACTCCGACTGAGAAAGCAAGGTCTGGCCTTGTATGCAAGAGATACCTCAAGCAGCCTATCCTTCGACGATACATAGTAGCATCAGCTTCTGTTTTTTCTTCTTGAGCTTTAGACAACTTCAGACCAAACTCCATTGGAATGTGAGATGGATTACAATTATCTAAGCCAGCTTCTTTTAAGATTCTTCGTGCATATGCTTCCTGCTTCAGTTCAATACCATCTTTACTCTGTCTTACCTCAATGCCAAGGTAATAGGTGAGTTTACCTAGGTCTGTCATCTCAAACTTAGAAGACATTCCTTGTTTGAACTCTTGTATCAATCCTAGTGAATTCCCTGTTACAAATAGATCGTCAACATATACTGCAACCAGAAGTAGCTTTGTACCTTCTGACTTACGATACACTGCATTTTCTTTAGAACATTTCAGAAATTTCAAACCCTTTAAGATCTGATCTAACTTCGTGTTCCATGCACGTGGGTCTTGACGCAAACCATACAAAGCTTTAGAGAGTTTGAAAACTTTATGTTCTTCTCCCTTCTTTTCAAAACCCTCCGGTTGAGTCACGTATACGTCTTCTTTGAGTTCTCCGTGTAAAAATGCGGTTTTAACGTCGAGATGATGGATTTCCCAACTGTTTGATGCAGCAACTCCTACTAACAATCTTATAGTTTCGAGCCTAGCTACTGGAGCAAAGACTTCATCGAAATCAATTCTGGATTGTTGTGCATATCCTTTTGCAACCAATCTGGCTTTGAATTTGTTTATAGATCCATCTGCATTCCTTTTGATCTTAAAAACCCATCTCAGACCTATAACTTTTACTCCTTTTGGCTTTTCCATTAAATTCCAAGTCTTGTTCTTGTTAATTGAATTGATTTCTTCTTCACATGCTTTAACCCATTCAATCAACTCCTTTGCTTCTTGAAAATTTTCTGGTTCATCATTGATGGATAGTAAAAGTTTCTCGCACTCAATATCCATAAAGAGTGCATAATCTTCTAGATATTTTGGACGTTTTACTTCTCTTTCTGATCTTCGAAGTATTGGTTGAGTTTCTGTGACCTCATTATCATTATCTTCGCTTGAATGATCTATGTGATCACTCTCTGTTTCTTCAGTATTGTTTTCTTCTGGACCATTGTTTTCTGAGTCATGTTCTGTGTTATTACTAACATATGGTCCCTGTCCTTCATCTATAACTCCTCCCCAAGTCATATGGAACATACCTGGTGATTTGTCTAAGTCCTCATTAGCTCCCTTCCAAGTCCAGCCCTGTTTCTCGTTGAACACAACATCACGGCTAACAACAACCCGTCTGGTTGTAGGGTTATATAGTCTATATGCCTTAGTACCAGGCTCTATCCCAAGATGAACTAATGTTTGAGACCTGTCATCAAGTTTCTTCAACTGAACTGGCTCTGTTTTTGCGTATGCAAGGCAGCCAAAAACTTTAATGTGATCTATGTATGGCTTCTTATCTCTTAAACACTCATAGGGCGTTTGATCCTTTAAAGCTCTTGTAGGAACTCTGTTAATCAAATACGTTGAGTGTCTCACTGCTTCACCCCATAGAAAATTAGGTACTCTCATGGCTTTAAGAATACTTCTTGTCATCTCCATTAACGTACGATTCCTTCTTTCAACTACACCATTTTGCTGCGGGGTATAGGGAGCTGTTAGTTGTCTCTTGATCCCATTTTTCTCGCAGAATTCTTGGAATTCTCTAGAGGTAAATTCTCCACCTCTATCCGTACGCAAAGTAACAATCCCTTTATTGCATTCTTTCTCCACCAGAGTCTTGAATGTTTTGAATTTTTCAAAAGATTCACTCTTTTCTTTCAATAGGATAGACCACATATACCTTGTATAGTCATCAATAATCACAAACACATACCTGTTGTGAGCCAGTGTAGCCGGGGAGATTGGTCCACAAAGGTCAGCATGAATGAGTTCTAATGCTTGTGATGCTCTGTAGGAGGATGCTTTAGGAAAGGCTTGGCGAGTTTGCTTACCAACTAGACATGACTCGCAGAGTTGATTTTCCTTATTGATTCTTGGTAGGCCATGAACCATCTCTCTTGTTGACATAGCCTGAAGTGTTTTAAAACTGATATGACCAAGTCTCGCATGCCATTTCCATGTTTCATCATCAATACTTGAGTGTAAACAGGCCGGTTTACCAATGGTGAGTTTGATCTTGTATAACCTATTAGGAGACCTCAGTACTCTTATCAAAAGTCTTCCATGTGGGTCATGTAGTGTGAGATAGTTTTGTCTCATTCTAATGTCACAACCATGCTCGGTTGCTTGTCCTAGACTGAGGATATTACTTTTTAGCTCAGGAATAAAGTATACATCCGGCAACAGAGACTGTTCTCCAGTCTTTCCTTCGAATAGTATTGATCCTTTACCACCTATGTCTACACATGATCCATCTCCAAACTTCACCTTGCCTCTGATATTCTCATTCAACTCTGAAAAGAAAGATTTTATTCCTGTCATATGGTTACTTGCACCATTGTCTAAGTACCATGTCCCTTCTTCTTTCTTTTCTTTCTCATATTTTCTTGGTATTAAGTTTTCTTCATTGAGAAAAACAATCTCATGCATGTAGAGAGCTCCGTCTGCTTCTATAGTCTCTACTTTGTTTGCTTCTTGATTATTTTGTTTTCTCTCAGGGCATACAGAGGCATAATGTCCTGGTTCGTCACACCGATAGCAAATCAACTTTGATTTATCCTTTTTATCCTTATTATGATCCTGATCGGTTTGGTTACTAGGGAAATTTTGTTCTTGATTTCCTCTGCCTCTGCCTCGTCCTCTGTTTCCTCTTCCTCCACGGCCTCGGCCTCTGCCTCGTGTATTTGATTGAGCATACAAAAGCTTTTCTTGTGAATCGCTTGGTTTCTCATCTATTCTTTCTTCATATACTTTGATTCTTCCCACTATTTCTTCAAAACCCGTTCTTTTCAGGTCAAGGACTTGTTCTAAGGAGGCGACAATCTGTATATACTTGCTTCTTGGTAAACTATTCATGAACTTCTTCACTAATTTCTGTTCATCTATTGGTTGTCCAAGGGATGAAGCTTTTGATGCAAGCTCTGATAGCTTGTTTGCAAAGTCATCAACGGTATCAGACTCCATCATCTTTATTCTCTCGAAATCTGACATCACAGTACTCAGTCTTGCTTCCTTGACACGTTCTGCTCCTAGGTTACGAGATTTGATCAAGTCCCAAATAGCTTTTGGTGTTGCTTGATCTCCAACTTGAAGAGTTAGGGCTTCGGAGATAGACTGAAAAATCAATACTGTTGCGATATCGTTCTTATCAACATCAGTTGATCCGGGTTCAATCGTGTCCCAAACCTTATGAACCCTTAACATCATCCTCATCCTCATAGCCCAAACGGTATAGTTTGTAGGGGTTAACATCGGGCATTTAATCGATGAGGGTATATGATCTTTATGTGTGGTGTTGGCCACGGCGAGAGCATCATCATCAGCCATGGCTCGGCTGTATCTAATGATTTTCACGTTTTCTTAAGGATCGGGTAATCCTCAAGCTCTGATACCAAATAAAGTTTCCTTGAACAAAGACCTTCAAAGAAATCACTCTTCTTTATTGATGTTTAGTAAAACTCTCTCAAAAACTAAACACAAGCTCTCAATGTTCTCTAAAACTCTTAGGGTTACATCTCAACCCTAGAGATGTATTTATAGGGATAACACAACTCATTAACCCTAGTTACATATCTTGTTAACTCTAGTTAACATTAGGATAAGATAACTCTTTAATCCTAAAGAAGTTTCTAGACCTATCTTATTTCTAACCTCCTTATAGAAACATCTTGGGCCTTAAGAAACTTGAATGTTTACCCAACAGACTTTTCTCAATTTATCACAAGATTGATGACAAACAGATCTCACGTTACCCGATTTTTATAATTTCCATTTCTTTGGTGTGACATATTAATTAATTAGTAATATATTGATAACGAATTAACGATTAATGAACCACTATCTTAATTATCATTAAGAGATTCAGTCACAGGCATGACATCATTTACACATAATAATGCTCATACAATTAGATGAATTTGACAGCAGCATTCATAGATAATTGTTTGTTGGTAATGCGTTAAAATCTTACTGAATTCAACCATTAGAGAGCAGAAATTAAAGTCAAAAGTTGTATTGATTAGAGATAACTAACTAGACGAAATAACGTTATATATAGAATTATTATTAGTTTGATTTTAATCTTGATATCATAGTGTTTTATGATCTATATATCTTCATCTCTAATTAATCTATACCGACAACTTTCATGGATTGATAATTTTCAACAAATTGCAATTCTATTATTATTTGCTTCTGACTTTTGGATCAAGATTAGGTTTGAGCTCTGGGCTTTTGGCTATAATAAGCTAATAAAGACCTCATATGGGCTTGTTTTGTTTGTTGGACTGAGTTAGCCGTATAACACACACATTAAATGGAATCAATAAATAAAAAAATTGTGAGAAAATAATAAGAGAAAATTATGTACTACGTACGTTAATAATGTATGCATTTTATACTGTTATTTAAACCCTATTGAATAAATATGTCTCTAGCGAGTAGGGCATTGATTCATTATTCATAACTAAAAGCCAAATAAGAAACGTGTGTCGTGAAATGCCTCCTGTCACATTTGCCACATAACATCCGGTTTGTGATCCTTGACCAATTTGTAAATTTCGAAGAGTGCGAACTCTTCTAGTTGTCTAACCATAACTCACAATGATCATGTTCATGTGCATATGTAAACAACAAAATATTACTTTTCAATACCGGTAAGAGACAAATTCTTATAATTTTAATATTTGGAGATCTAGATAATGTGATCGATGTATAGCTGGCTTTGTCAACGTGCATAAAAATTCGTGAAGCAATCTCACGAGGGACACAGCTGTTTAAATGGAGTTAATTAATAAAATACTAAGAGAAAATTATTAATAAGATAAATTATTTAAGATATGAATCAAACTAGAACATATATGCCAGACAAAATTGATACGTAAAAGAAAAATGGAAGAGAAAATGACAAAGGAGGAAGTAGAGGAGGAGCCTCTCAGCCCGATGGCTCGTCTATTCCAATTGCAGGAGCTAGACAATTGCATTGTCACCATGATCGGTTTCAAAGCCAAGCTTAGTCCTGACATCATTCTAGATGACTTGAAGCATAACGTTTACAAGCATCCTCGTTTCTGTAGTAAACTGGTAATTGCCACACACACACATACATATATATATGTACACGAAAATTGTAACTAGTTTTACTTAGGATTGAACATTGTGTTTGGTCTGAATTTTGTAAAACTTTGAAGTCAGATGATGGTGCAAGATGGATTAAGACCAACGTCAATGTAGAAGACCATGTATTTGTACCGGACATTGACCCACATGAGATCAACGAAGATGGAGATAGCTTCGTTGATGATTATGTCTCGCGTCTAACGCTGAATCCTCTGGATAAAGCAAGACCATTGTGGGAAATTCACATCCTCAATGTCAAAACATCTGATGCAGAAGCTGTAGGTGTAATGAGATGTCACCATTCTTTGGCAGATGGAATGTCCTTGATGTCTCTCTTGGTGGTGTGTACCCGAAAATCGTCAGATCCTGAGGCATTTCCTACCATTCCTGCTATAAAACGGCGTGGGAAAACTATGTCACACCCTTTTAGTGACAAAGGCTGGTTTTTGAGATTGATATTCGTAATTTATTCTACGTTGATATTGATTTGGAATACCATTGTAGATATTCTACTGCTTTTGGCGACTGCATTGTTTTTGAATGATACAGAGACGCCTCTTAACGAGGGTGCTGGTGTTGGGAATAATCTAAGGAGATTTTATCACCGAACCGTCTTATTGGATGATATTAAATTTGTAAAAAACGCTATGAGCATGGTGAGTTACTATTTGTTCGGTTGTATATAGTTTTGCATACTCCTAAACATTTGTGAATTTATTGTGTGTGGCTAGACTATCAATGATGTTCTACTTGGAGTTACACAAGCCGCTCTCTCCCGCTATCTGAACCAGCGATATGGTAAATACTGAAATTCAATATAAATATATGCAATGCATTGGAGTTCATTTCTAATGTGTTGCTTGTGTGTGATGTTTCTTGACAAACAAGGCGACAAAGATGGTGAAGATGGAACAACGACATCATATCTAAACAATCTCCCAGGTAAAATACGAACTCGAGCGGGTGTTGCGATAAATCTAAGGCGGGATATTGGAATCCAGGTTAGATATCTACACCTAATATTTAACCTTAATTGAAGAGAATTTAACCCTAACTTGGTCAAATAATTGTATGAAGCCTGTGGAGGATATGTTGGCCAAGGGTTCGGAATGTAGATGGGGAAATTATAACTCCTTTGTTTTTGTTCCGTTCTCCATCAATTTAGAAACTGACCCATTGGTTCCTCTATTAAAAGCTAAATCAATAATGGATCGAAAGAAGCACTCTCTTTACCCCTCTATACTTTATTTAATCATCAAGTTCATCCTCAATATTTTCGGACATAAGGTATATATGACGAAACTCAAGGATTGTATGTGTTTTCAGTGTGAGGACATTATATAATTATATGACACACGTCATTGTAGGCAGGGCTATTCAGACGATCATTTTCGAACATAACAACATTCATGTCAAACATCGTTGGCCCCATTGAAGAAGTTAGTTTACACGGCAATCATATCGCTTACATTGCTCTAAGTAACTATGGACAACCACAAGTACGTTTTTATTTTTATTTTTATTTTTTATGCTTCACAATAAATGAAAATATGAAATGATAAGTTTGTAACAATAATGACGAGTACTTTTCCATTTTTTCTTCTCATATTCATACAATCATACATGTAAGTGTGTTTGGTAGGCATTGATGATACATTTCATAAGTTACGCGGAGAAGATGGTAATTTCGTTAACAGTTGATCCTGAGGTCATACCAGATCCTCAGAATATTTGTGATGAAATGGAGGAGTCTTTGAAAGCTATGAAAGACACTCTTTCTACTAAAAGTGACCGCCGAGTTGTTGGATCACATAATCGCGGTCAATAGTTTCGCAAGTTAATGGCGTTATGGCTACGATGATAACTACCAAGTTCTCTCCCAGATTGGATTGGCTCTTTGTTTTTTATTTCTTTTTTGCCAAAGAGTCAAATGCTGTAGGTTAACAATCTTGTAAAACCTGTTTATTCATTTATATGATATTTACAATTTAGCAAAAAAAAAAAAAAATTCACTTCTGGCCTCTTCTTTCAACAAAAGTGTTTTCTTTCGTTCTTATTTGTTTCTGTGTACGTTCTTTTTTGTACGTCAAGAAATCTTCCAAACATTAATTTTCCTTTTCTGTTGAATAAAAAATAAACCACTTTCTTAATTATCATCAAAAGATTCAGTCACTTACATGACATAATTTACACTTAACAATGCTGAATTTGACAGCAACATTCATAAGATTAGTTGTTGATAATGCGTTGAAATTTATATTCAACCATTGGAGAACAGAAATCAAAGTTGTATTGATTAGAAATAACTAAGTGGTCGACCAAAGAATTTTTTTTTTATAATTGGTTAGGCAAATTAAGAACGTTATATACAGAATTATTATTAGTTTGATTTTAATCTAGACACAGTGTTTTATGGTCTAAGATATTTTCATCTCTAATTAATTGGTACCAACAAATTGTTTTTATGGACTAATCTAATTTTTAACAAATTGCAATTCTATTAGTGGCTTCTAAGTTTTGGATCAAGATCAGGTCTGAGCTTTGGGCTTTGGGCTAGAAACTTGATGTGGCTTACGCACCTTAATCGAATGTTTTGCATGTGTGTGTTGTTTCTTGAAAAACAAGGCAACAAAGATGGTGAGGATGGTACAATGATATCGGATCTAAACAATCTTCCAGGTAGAATACGAATTCGAGCAGGTATTATGGTTAATCTAAGGCAGGAGATCGGAATCCAAGTTCGATATCTAAAATTAACCTTAATTGAAGAGAATTTAACGACCTAACTTGATAATAACTTCCTAAGGTATACATTAAAAGAGTAATCATGGAGGAACCGAAGTCAATAGAAGAAACGGACGATTCCACATTGTGACACAACAAAAGAGCTTTAACTAGACGTCGATCTCATATAACCCTCTTTCTAGGACAGCGGATTTAATTATCTTGAGAGACTCCACCAAATCATCACACATCTTGTGAGGGTCAGGAATGACCGTTGGATCAGCCGTTACCGATATTATGACCTTGTTCGCATAGCTCTGGAAATGTAGAGTAAGAGCCTTCACACACATACACAAAAAAAAAACAATTAAAAACAAGATAATCAGAAGATTCTATATGATGAATTAATTTTCTATATATATTACTTACATGTGGGTGGCCAAAAACACAAGGGGAGATATAATTCAGTGGGTGACCATGGAATGTAATTTCTTCCTTTGGACCGACCACATTTGAAAATGACAACGTTGTGCTATGGATCACTTTCCTTACAAGAACTACACTTGCCTGTATTTTTGTTTTCTCCATTAGACAATATTCATATATATATATATATATATATATATAGAAAAAAATAACAAGACCTATGCATGATTAACTCTGTAGAAAATCGGATTTAGAGTTCACCTTGAGCCCAAGAACTTTTAGTATCAATTTAAAGAATGCCATGGAGAATACGGCTTCGAGAGAGTTTTTCTTGCGGTCGATCGTGGCTTTAGCTTGGCGCACATATTCCAGAGGATCGGTCTCTAGCCCAACGGAGAACGGTAGGAGAATGTAGCCGAAGAGATTTCCCCATCTGCATTTCGATTTCTTGGCCATCATATCCGCTAGAGCCTATATTGAATCATTGAACAATAACGAAACCATACAATCCGTTTAAAATCATTTGGTTTCAAAGATTCCAAGACTAAATATTTATGTACCTCAATTCCAGTGTTTGGTCTTAAGTTAATCATAATGGCTGAACGAAGTCGGATTTTCCTCATCGACTCTTTTGATTTCGGTGTTGCTTCTTGATCTATTACAAAACATATGACAAGAGTATCTTTAGATGAGTGTGAGCTCTAAATTATTATGTATAGTATAACACAGTGGTGTAAAAACAACTTTACCATATCTTCGACTAAGATACCGTGAAAGTCCGGCTTGGGTTACTCCAAGGAGAACATCGTTTACCGTCTAACAAAAATAGATTTAAAGCTAAAAATGTCAGCGACTATACATGATCAAGAAATTCTTTAAATTAGGAAATAAAACATACCATTTTCATTGCATTTTTCACCAGCTTAACATCGTCAAAGCTGATAATCCGGTGGATGAACCTCTTAGGTGTAAGTTCACTACCGGGTTTGGCCAAGAGAGGAGTCTCCGTATCCCTCAAGAAAAATATTGTAAGAGCAAACATTAAGATATCAACAAAAGTGTTGAATAGCAATCTTATGATGAACCAGAGCCCTACAAATAACCACCAAATCTTGTTGAAAAAACCGCTATTGCAATTCGGTCCAAAGCGTTTTTTCTGAACGGCAACGGTAGGCAAAGCCTCGGGGTCTGATGTTTTGCGGGTACAAGCCAGTAAAAGAGACATGAGAGACATTCCATCACCCAAAGAATGATGGATCTTGAGAATGGCAAAGGATTCAGCGTTCGATGTTTTGAGGCCTAGTAAGTGCATTTCCCATAATGGCTTAGACAAATCCATAGGAATGGTCGTTAACTTAGAGATATAGTCTTCAAGATACTGATCAGGATTTTCAATGTTGGGATCTATATCAGGAACAATCACATGCTCTTCTACTCTAACTTTTGTCCGAACCCAACGCGGTTTCCCTTTCTTACCATTGTTCATCTCCTAAATTCATCATGGGAAGAAACAATAACATTTTTAATATAAATACAAACATATATACTCGTGATTTTTATATCATCTTTTTGGTTTTAAAAAAAACAAAAATTAATAATAATCAAGAGGAAACAATAACATTTTAAATATAAATACAAACATATATACTCGTGATTTTTATATCATCTTTTTGGTTAATGATTAATAAAAAACAAAAACTAAAAATAATCAAGAGGATTATTTGGCGTAATAACTCCAATGAAACAAACACTTTATTAGAAAATGTGTTAACTATTGAAATATTCAGTACCAAGTGGCGATACATGAATCCAGTAATTTAATTTATATCATTTCTTATATAGTTCTATTACATGTTTACATTATGTGTGTGCGTGTTTACATATACAATAGTAAAGTATGTTTTAACAATGATGAAAATATAAATTTTAAAATAAAAATGTGAGTTTGGACTTACTAAAATGCTAGAGAAGCGAGGGTGGTTGACGAGGGTGTGTTCAAGGCCGTGGATGATGGCAGGTGTGTCTCCTTTGACTCTAGATCCCATTGTCACGATTATCGCACAGTTAAAATCCGGCGAATTAAACAGCCGTGAACATGGGCTGAGTGGCTCCTCCTCCACCGTCTCCCTCGCCTTGTTCTTCGCTTCACCCATTCTTTAAACTATTAGTGGCTCTTTCCAAGCTTTTTTTTTTTTTTTTTTGCTCTTTCCAAGCTTTGTGGGGTTTTGTTTTTTTTCACTCAGTCACTTTATGCTCTGTTCTCTATATATTAATAAGTTACACGATGTTAGTTATGAACTCATGGTCCCTTTGGTTAATATAGCTACTACATCTTCATGTCAGTATATTTTATGGTTTTTTGACATCATCAAATGGACGTTACTATGTTTTATTATTTTATCATGCGTAACTTTTTATTTTTCACTGAGGACAAATATTTTTAGACCCAAATACAAATGTAATAATCAGAAGTTGTTATTGTTATGCAAATACTGTAGTGGTCAAATCACCAGAATAAAAATCAACTCCTAGGGACACGAGAATTTTAATGAATACTCAACCGACTATACTAACTTCACCAACAGAATTTAATTATTGAGACTACACTTCTTTCCTTTTTTGTATTTATGTTAGAATTATATTTCTGATTTGGAGGATAAATTAAGTGGACGACTATAGTGCAAATTGATAAATAAGAGGAAAACATATTTTTCACTATAGTCATTTACTTAATTTATCTCCCAAATTAGACTATCAATCTAAGTATAGCCCTATATTATAGTGATATATATGCTAAGAGTCCCTTCCTATTCTTCATGAGAGATCAACAACGTTATTACTTTCCATAATTCTTTGTTTTCTTGGGTTAATGTCCTTACTTGTACTATTCTTCACCATTTTAAAAACCCATGGAACGTAATAATCATTGATCTCTCCAATGCCACGAATGCATGGGGTAGGTACTATTCAATTTATTTGGGCCAACCATATCGACCAGAGATTTTCTTTGTACTAATTCATTTAATGTTCCCATTTTACGTGGGCGTAAAACTCAAATAAATTATTATTTTACTAAACGTAGAAGTGTACTGACCATCCCTTTTGGTCATTCAATCAAATAACGATCCTCTTATATGTTACAAAAATACGAAAAGTGAAGTTGATGTCAATTAATATATAAGTACAATTTATTGCTCGTAGATGTCTGCAGAAATGGACAAAACATTTTCTTCTTCTCTTGTTACTTAAAATCTTGATTTATTAGTATAAATTAAAACGGATTTTGTATTACACATTTAAGTTGAATTTGCAGACAGCTTCTTTCAATTAATAAATGCATGGTGTGTGCACTTTTATTACCTCTCTGTGGAAACTGCAAACTTAACTTTATCTTTCAATGAATAAGTTCTTGGTAACGACCAACCACTAAGGCTCGGGACTAACCATTTTATTGATTACCAACTGTAAATGTGCATGGAGAAATGGTTGAAAATTTACAGCAGCAAAAAACGGTTAGCATTATTTCGACTGATTTGAAAACGACTTTTAACCATCATCCAAGAAAGTCAAGTGATTTAATAATCGTTTACAAAAGAGATTGATACATTGGGTAGACATTCCTTTGACTTTTCGTGCTTTTTTGAAGATTATTCCAGCTTTATAGAAAGTTTTTTTATTGTACTGTCTAAATCGTTACAGTTTTACCACGTCTCATAAAAAAGTTCGAACATAAATATTCATCAAAGAAAAAGAGATAATTATTAGAATGTCCCACATTGCTTGGGATTAAGATCTTTGGGTAGTATATAAAGGATGTGGCAATCCTTAACTCTTGAGCTAGTTTTTGGGTTAAGTTAGGCCACACTCCTAATATGGTATCAGAGCCAGGTTCAACTTTCTCGAAAGTGGGCTACCATCCGTGGATGTCCAGTCCCACAAACTTCACGCTTCAGATGTCCAGTCCTGAGCGTGAGGGGGGTGTGTTAGAGTCCCACATCGGAAAGAAATAAAATCCTTGGGCAATATATATAGTATGAGGCAAACCTCCTCCCTTGAGCTAGCTTTTGGGTGTTGAGTTAGGCCCATTACTAATATGGTATCAGAGCCCAAGGTTGGCCCAACAAGCAAATTCCCACAAAAATGGTTTCCCACCTATGTGGCCCATATAAGTGGCATGTCTTGTTGTATTTCCGAAATGTTGGGTTTGGGCTGTTTCCCGTTGGACCGTTTCCCACCCACATCTCGAGGAGGCCTATTAGAATGTCCCACATTGCTTGGGATTAAGATCTTTGGGTAGTATATAAAGGATGTGGCAATCCTTAACTCTTGAGCTAGCTTTTGGGTTAAGTTAGGCCACACTCCTAATAATAATTGGGCTCATCTTAGACAAAAATCTAGACTAATTCTATATACATATTTTGAATGTTTTTGTCATTTAAACCGTCTATAAGTGACTAAACAGAATGGTGAGATAATTATTAATTCCACATGTAAAAATATAGCTCCTTGTTTTTACAGTAAAAATATACCTATTATATATATATATATATATATATTTAAACACATATGGTTAAAATTTAACTCTGTTAAACAATTCCGTTACGCGGCTGTTAAGTCTGGGGTTTGAAATTACCAAGATTTAAAAAACAATGAATTTAAAAGACAACCAAAATTAAATGAAGTATTTTTATTCTAAATTTAAAAACACAGGTATTAAACGGTAAAAAAAAAAATAGATGGCGTTTTTTTCGGATTTTTTTCCTTTAAACCAATAAGGTGAAATATTGACAAGACAAATTCATCTCTCTTCTTTTTCGATCTTTCTCTATTCATAATACTTCATGATATTCATATATAATGCATTAAATCAGAAATCATGTTACATAACTAATACTGTATATACTTCTCTTGTTTTTCGATCTTTCTCTTTTCTCTATGATAAAAACTCAGAAACTAGGGAGAGGAGCCATCACGTCGATTTTAAACTTCGCCGCTTAAACTGAGTGGTACCTAAAACCACTTATCTAAGAGCATCTCCCACCCACCTCTATATTTACCTCTAAACTCTATTTTAGAGGCAAATCTACTCCAACCCACCTTTATTCTCATCTCTAAAATAGAAATCTCTATTTTTTTCTCTATATATAGAGGTGAAAATAGAAAATCTCTATTTTTTCCCCTATAAATAGAGTTAAACTTTTTAGAGAAAAAAATAGAGGAATACATTGGAGTAAAAATAGAGAAAACTTACCTCTATTATAGAGATATAGCTAAAAATAGGGAAATACATTGGAGATGGTCTAATCTTTGGGTGAAGAATCTTCATTGTATTGAAAATCTAATGCAATTATGGCTCTCATAGCCATTCTCATCTTTGGTCAGCGTGAGATAGTACGAAAGATTGGATTTGGTGGTTGCACCTATTACTCATTCATACTCTGAACATTTAATATCAATTGCACTTAGTTTGTTATCTTGTCTATGTGGGGCTTTTGCCCTCGCTTTTTGTTCTTTTTCTTACCTAAAAGTTCTAACGATGGCTTTGTTTTTTATACCATCAAGTTCTCATAGTATGCTTAGCTTTCGTTAAAGGATATTGGATATATAGTCTAGTTTATAAAAGAGTTAAGAACACAAAGATTAAAGAACAACTTTCTTATTGATATGCTTTAGAAAACTAACTCAAAAACTAAAGCTCACAAAATCTCTCAAACTCAAATCTCTCTCAACTCATAAGCTATACCACAAGCTCGGCATATGCTTATATAGAGACTCAACACCTTGACCTAATCCTAACTTGATAAGGTCTTAAGAATCTTCTAGAGAACTCCTAAAGATCTTAACTCTATCCTATTCTTAAACCGATATCTTGTGGTTCAAGTAAACTTCGGTTTACTCTTCAAGCTTAAACCAACATATAGAAGGTCCAATAATCCAATCCTTAAAACTTCAAAGCAGTTTAGGCTGTGAACAGTGACACATTCACCGCTTTTATACTAATTAAGTGCTCAAGAAACTAAACAAATCAAACGGATCTTTTTAAAAATATAATATTCAGCTTACAGAACTACAGCTTTGATATATGACACTAATTAAGGTTATATACAAAACTGAAAAATAGAAGTTAGTTGGGCCTTATTGGGCTCTACTGATTTGGTTATCGTATAAATATTTTGGCCCACGCAAAACTTCAGGGCAAACCCAAGGGAAATATATGGAACTTTTAGTATATTTCTCATTTTAAAGATTTTAGCTAGAAATTAATTACTGATTTATTAATCATTCCATAATTATTTTTAAGTTAATTACAAATATATATACGGAAATTTATTGCCAAAATATAAGTTTTTAAAAGTTTTAGGCAATTTTTGCAGTAGAAACTGAAAAGTAAAAACAAAATTTTCCCTTGCGTTTATAAAGTTGTTTGAGAATTTTTAGTTTTTTTTTTCCTTTTAATAATGAAAAAGTCCATTTTGTATTGAAAATATCCCTATTTCTATGATAAATTTTGAAAAGTATCTAATTTCGTAATTAAAAAGTCTCTTTTTTTTTTTTGACGTCTAGATTTATTATTTATTGCAAATTATGAGAACTGTTACATAGACGATTCTACAACGGACAATTCCTTCCGACCCTTATTAGATCCACGACAGACGACACTTCCTTCTCCATGCTCTTGACGGACACCTTCAATGATCCACGATCTGACGACACTTCTCTCTGCGTAGAATCCTGGCGAACGGCTATAATTGTACTTCGCTGGAGATCTCCTGCACACTTGCCTCCTTTAATCTGCAAATTTATTAATAAATCGCAATATCTGGGACTCGAACCCTAAACCTCTTGGTGTAGAAGCATTAATTAACCCTTGGTCAACCAATGGGCCAGGGGGGCTTCCACATTAAAAAGTCTCTTATACTTTTAATTTTGTAAAAAAATAACAAAGAAAAAGCTTACACTACTTCTCGAAGCTTCTCGATTTGGGGACTCTTCTTCATTTTCCCAAATCAAAGTGAACAACTTTCATCTCCAAAACATCCCATTTCTTGATTTCCCTCCGTTGTTTGTCACAAACCCAACAAAGTTGACCTAAACCCTAAGACGAAACCTCAAATGGCGATTATCTCTGAGGTGGAAGAAGAAAGCAGCAGCAGCCGACCCAGGATGTTGCCGTTTAGGGCAGTACTCGATTCTTCAGACCCATTAGGGTTTTTGGAGAAAGTTTTCGACTTTCTTGGAGAACAGAGCGATTTTCTCAAGAAACCCTCCGCAGAGCAGGAGATCGCCGTCGCGGTTAGGGCGGCGAAGGAGAAGTTGAAGAAGAAAGCTGAGAAGGAGAGTGTTAAGCCTGTGGAGAAGAAAGCTGAGAAGGAGAGTGTTAAGCCTGTGGAGAAGAAGGTAGAGAAGGAGAGTGTTAAGCCTGTGGAGAAGGAGAGTGTCAAGCCGCCGACTATGGCTACTTCAAGTGCTGAGCCTATGGAAGTGGAGAAGCCTAAGGAGGAGGAGAAGAAGGAATCTGGTCCCATTGGTAATATCAAATCGTTTTCTTTAAACTGGATTTGATGAGATTGAATATGGAATCTTGGCATGTCATTGATCCTGAGATGTTTCAGTTTGAGAATCTTGTATGGGTATGTGTTCTTAGGATTGGAAAGTTTGATTGAGATTGATGGACAAACTGTGAATTTAGAACTCGAAGAGGCTTATTTGTTGGTCCTGATCAAGTTTTATGTTATTGGTTCAATTTGGTATTAAGAACTATGATATAGTAGAGGAGTTTTTAGACTTTGAAATCGGTGAACTTTCTATTCGATACTTGTTCTAGCCTCTGGGAGGTATTAAGTATCTGTAGGTTCTGTTTGTGTTCACCTAATACCAATTTTAACAGCAACGTTGTTGGATTTTAAGTTCTAGAACTTGATGTCTCTCTAGTGAAAGCAAAACATCATAAGTTTTAGACTTGATGGTAGTTTCTTCTATCTTATGCTTTAGTGGATCCTTTTGATGAGCTTTGGTGTTCTCTTGTTATCTCTAGTTAACTTTGTGTATGTTTGCAGTTCCTAACCAAGGTAATGGAACTGATCTTGAGAACTACTCATGGGTCCAGAATCTCCAGGAGGTTACAGTTAACATTCCAGTGCCTACTGGGACTAAAGCACGGTCTGTTGTATGTGAGATTAAGAGGAACCGTCTCAAGGTTGGTCTCAAAGGCCAGGATCCAATCATCGATGTAAGTTCCTTTGCTATTGTTTATCATAAACTATTCCAGTTCCATATTTATGCCCTTCTAGTATTCTTGCTAAATTTGCAAATGTTCAATAATTTTAGGGGGAGCTCTATCGATCTGTGAGGCCTGATGACTGCTACTGGAATATCGGTATATGCCTAATCCTAACTCCTGAGTGAACAATGATCATTATATTGAACTGCTAGTGCGTATTGCTATATAATTCTCAAAATGATACTTTGCAGAGGATCAAAAGATGATTTCGATTCTGTTGACAAAGCATGATCAGATGGAGTGGTGGAAATGCTGTGTGAAAGGTGAACCTGAGATAGATACTCAGAAAGTTGAACCAGAGACCAGTAAATTAGGTGACCTTGACCCAGAAACTCGCTCGACTGTTGAGAAAATGATGGTATCTCTTCTTAAAAATCATTTCTTTCTTTATTCAAGTTTCTCAAATTAGAAACTGAAGTGTTTTCTTTTTTTGTTGTTTTCTTCTATCCATAGTTTGATCAAAGGCAAAAGCAGATGGGTCTTCCAACAAGCGACGAGCTACAGAAGCAAGAGATTCTCAAGAAATTTATGTCTGAGGTAATCAACATCTCTATCTTCCTACAACATCTCTATCTTCGATTCTATCACATTGTTTTTCTCTTATGTTGAACGGTTCTTCTTCTTTCGTTCGTTTCACGCAGCATCCAGAGATGGACTTCTCAAACGCAAAGTTTAACTGATGCTCGTATCGTCTGGTCTCCCTGCCTAAAAAGAAAAACCATTTTTGCATCTTCACCAACTTGTTTTACGTTGCTTCTTAAACACTTGTTACTTCTGTATGGTGGTCTCATCTCTAAAACTCGTTCGGTTTGTTCCTAGGTTTATGGTTTTGTGGTTTTTGGTGGATTGAAACTTTTTCAAAAACCGGTTTTCTCGAATTCATATGAGTCGGTTCTTTAAACCGGACAAAAAAATGGTATCAATGTAGTAGTACTTCTCCTATGTTCGATTACGTCCTGTCTAAGATTGATTGGTCTTAGTCACGTGACCTTGGAGGTGACACATGGGGTCTTTATTCAATTCGTCATGATGCAGCCGTTTTCAGTAAAAAGATAAACCTGGACCACAAGACACCATTGTGGTCCAGACCGGTTTAGTTGGGAATGTGGTCCATATCGTTGTTGCTCGACAACCTTCTTTCTTCAACTTCACATAAGGAATCATAAAACCAATCAATCTACTTACGTAATTGCAAACCCAACCTCCCTCATTTGTGTAAATGTAGTCACTTTGATGAAAGCAAACGATTCTCTCCTCACTCATACAGCAGAAACCAAATCCAATTTTCATTGCTTAAACCTGTGTTTAATTTTGTTGCAAGATTTAAGCAATGAAATGGGATTTGGTTTCCGCGGTTGGAGCGGTACATCCGTAGCGGAACGACATTTCGTAAAACAAACCAAATATGTTTATTTTTATCGGATCATGTTCGAGAAATTAGATTTTACAACTCTACATGTAGGTTTTGTACTTTTTGTTTGGTTGCAAAATGCAAACCATTCATAAGTTTAACCATGGATAAAGTTTTTTTAGTGGTTCAAGCGGGAGAGACATTTCAGATCGTTTTAGTGTAAGCAAGAAAATAGTGGCTAGAGACTAATTGGCTATATATGGCCTTGTCCATATTCATCAATTATTTGAAAGAGACAAACGCAGTATACACCAAATGAGTCTTATTGTTAATTATCAATTTCATCAGCATATTATAATCCAATGTTAGAACTCTCTTTAGTAAAAGATCCATCAATCTCCATCTCCTCAAAAAATAATGTTGCAGATATAACCAAGATATGAATATAGACGTCTTCGATTTGCCATGTGGATTGTAGGAGTCACACATTTTGATGACGACACTAATGTACACTGAGACCAATAAACAAAAACATGTTACACAGATATAATTGGTTGGTTACATTCTTTAATCACATCATAGTTATATTATATGTACATTAATAAAAATTACCTTTTTATACATGAAATTTCAACATTTTGCTTCATATTCTATTTGGTTTAAAGACAAATGGCTGACTGTAAAACTATCCATTTTATATAATGTAAACCATCTTTTTCATGTCTTAAACTCTATTCGAATTTGAATCCGACATACGTTATGTAACTCTTCTAACTATTTGGCTTACCTCATTAAAGAACAGTTTATAACGGTCTTAAAAATATTATTTTATAATTAATTTGTTAATATTTATGAAATTTAGATGACAACGATAAAATTAGAGCGATAAGAACTATGACATATATGTTCATAAACCACAATAGACTTAATTTGTTTGTCGAGATATAAGACATACGATGATTGGTAAGTACAACTTTATTTTAAATCACTTATCAAATCACTCTCGAAATAATTCAACAAAACAAAAGGTGCCCTCGAATCGTCTTTATTGTAAATTTGTAATAATACGTGGACGTGGTTACAATAATGGCATTGGATAGAGTATGATTGTAACTATGAATGTATGTTTTGGTAAAAATTCATACAATAATGAGATGGAATTTAATTACGTCTGTCTACGCCAAAATATTAGAGGAGATATACATCGCGCAGAATTTAACTTACTCATGGTAGTCTATTGGTGGTTTAGTGTCTGAGATTTTTTATCATGGTTTGTCACATGTAACCATGATCATGTCTTAATTAGGATCAGTTAGGTTTTTAATTTATTATAAATAATTTTTTAAGATTAGATAGTGGTTAAGAAGAATGAAGAAAGACACGTAAAATGCTTGTAATATCTTTTTCTAGATTATCGAGTATTCCATTGTCGAATTAAAGATATTAAAACACATAAGATTCTATTTTTGTAGAATGAATTATTTCTTCATATTTTTTTCGTTTTTAGGTCTTTTTGTAATCAACACATCAAAACACCAATCATTCTGATCACAAGTCCATCGTATATAATAAGAGTAGTCAGATTGTGAATGAGTTAATGTGGTTGGAGCCCAACACCACAATGACCTCACCTTGGTCACATTCTTGTTTAGTATGACGTTACAGTGGTCAAATCGGAAAATAAAAATGTAAATCAACGTAAATATACATACTATTTCTCTAATGTAAATATAACTGCTCCAAATAAATTTTAAAATCATATGTTAATATAATTGATTCAAAATATTTTCTAAATATATATCGCACCGATGTAAATATAAACGAATGAGAGACCGTTTCAAAAATAGTTATTAAACTACCGAGTGGGTTGATTAGTCTCGTAGGAAGCACTGGGAACAAAAAAATGCATCCATTGATTGTATCAGAAACGCCAAATGTAGCAATATTCACTATCGTGAGATGAAGAAAAGACAAGTTATCAATTTATACATAAATAAAAGAGAAAGAAACATGATTAAAGTGTCAATGTTAATAAGAAACTAAACGACCCAACATGATGGGGGCGCAAACTCAAACTACGAGTCAAAGCAAAATAAACAAAAACCAAAAACACCCACTTGCCACTTAATTTTTTTTTTTTTTTGACATCTTTGGATCGACATACACTCAACAAATTTGGATGGACCATCTATATATGTATGTATAACTTTTATAAATGTCTATTTGTCTACATTCATGCAGCGAGAAGAAATCATGGCTCTTCTTTTAACGAAATAAAGGGGAAAAAATGAAAAATAATGGCTTTTCTCCTCTCTCTTTTTATTACTACAAAATTCTATTATTTGTTAGGGGGTATAGAGATGATGTTATAAAAACTAGATTCGTTAAAAAAAAAAAAGGGAGATTATCACTATGGCATACTTTTCCTGAGATTCATATCAAAAGAGGCACTTTCCAAGTTTTTCAAGTTTTTTCCACTGTTCAACATTATTTAATACCACTTTGCCCCTGAATTATATTGATGATGTGCAAGGAAAAAGTTTGTATCATTCTCTTTCTTCTCCTTCTCCTTCTCCTTCCACGTCAATTCTCTTTCCACATTCTCTTTTTTTTTTTTTTTTTTTCTCTCTCATTTTCTTTTTATTATCATTTTTATACTTAATATGATATATATTATTTATTTTTTATATAATAAATTAAGTTTTAATTTTCTCTACATTTTAAGATCCATTGTCGCTATATTTTAAGTAAATAATTATATTACATATTATCCATTTCTAATTGAACATTTGTTTATAACTAAATGGATATTCAAAGATAGTTGAACAAATACACTACACCAAAATTTATAACTTGTGTGATCATCCAAACATATCTGTTAAACTCTGACCACTTGGACGAATAAAGATAAGGTTTTTCGGTGTAATATACATCCGCCAAACTCTGATCGAGTGTTTGTTGTAACAACACCAATCACGTCTTGATGTGTAAGTAACTTCAATTAAATGAATAACACTAAACCCTAACCTCTACCTTATAAATCCAAACCGATATGCTATTTTTTAAAAATTTATAACACTAAACCATAACTCCTACCTTATAAACCCAAACTAATATTTAAATTTGTTTAAATTTATAACACTAAACTCTACCTCCTACCTTATGAAACTTCTTTTAAATGTATAACAGTAAACCCTAATCCCTACTTTATAAATCCAAACCGATATGTAAGTTCGTTTAAATGTATAAAACAATATACCCTAACCCATACCTGATAAACCAAAACAGACCCTAACCCTTTCCCTAAAACCATCCGATGGGAATTCGTGTATATTATGCAAAGGTTGTGACCATCCGATGGGAATTCGTGTAAATGTAATGGAACTATACCCTAACCCCTACTTTATAAACCCAAATCGATATGTAAGTTCGTTTAAATGTATAACAATATACCCTAACTCCTACTTTGTACACTAAAACCGACATGTAATTAACTTCTTTTACATGATTAACACAAAACCTTAACCCATACTTTATAATCTCAAAAATGAACTTATAACCGTAAGGCATTGTCCATTTCTTGTTGAACATTTGTTTGTATGTAAGTGATAATCGTCAATACAAAGTTTTTTTATACATCCGCCAAACTCTGATCAAGTGTTTGTTGTTCATAAACAATTGTTTTTTTTTGTATATGACCATCCAACACTGAACACATGGTTAGTTACAAATTATCTCAAGCATTTATATAAAACGTCTTCGACACACATCCAAGCATATCCGCTAAACTCTAACCACATAGATGAATAATGACAAAGTTTTGCGGTAGACTATACATCCGCCAAATACTGGTCAAGTCTGTTGTTCATATTAGTGATAATCGTCAATACAAAGTTTTTTTTTCACATAATTAAGAAGCAAAAATACTAATTTTACCATTTGATTGATTTTTTCTAAGGGTAAGTGACACTTTAGCATACCTCATAAACCCAAACTGATATGAAACTTCGTTTAAATGTATAACAGTAAACCCTAATCCCTACCTTATAAATCCAAACCAATATGTAAGTTCGTTTAAATGTATAAAAATATATCCTAACCCCGACCTTATAAACCCCAACCGATATATAAATTCGTTTAAATGTATAAAACAATATACCCTAATCCATACCTGATAAACCAAAACAGACCCTAACCCCTTCCCTAAAACCATCACCCATAAACCCTAAAACACTAACCTAAAACCTAAACACTAAACACTTAACCATTTAAATAATCTATCCACATGGAAGTGACTATAAGAGTCGGGAAATATTCAGTCAAACACTAATCCCGTTGTTCAAATCCATTTGGTTAGGATATAAACTAACAATATCAATTTCGTTAGTTTCTCTTTTCTACACTTCATCTAACAAACAGAATATTCAAGGCAGCTACTTACCACCATCGGTTCCTTCCTCTTTCTCTTTGTCGATGGTTTACCAAACAATATCCTTAAGTCATGTGGTAAAGTTCTTGTAAAACTAAAACAAGAGCAAGAAAGTAAGCAAAAGGTAAAGATTCAAACATCAGTTACTTACCATCTCAAGCATTTCTATACAATGTTTGCGAACATTTGAACATATGAACTCTATTTTTGAACAAATTATGTCCACATGGAACTGACCATCAAGAGATATACGCAATCTCATCCAACTAGACAATGTCCACGAATACTTGAACAAACTACTATACAAACATTTCAAGGTAAACGATCATCCAAGCATATCTGCTAAACTCAAACCGATATCTAACTTCGTCAACAATATAAACCTAAAACGAGATGAAAGTTCGGTTAAAAGGTTTAACACATGGATGTATCACGATTCATAGAAACCAATTTTCGTACTTAGAAACCAATTTTCAAACCAATTTCCATTTTATTATATTTAAAGTATCAAATACGAAATTTCATTCAGTCCAACATAAGTATTTCATTTGGATGACATATCGTAAACCCAAAAAATAAACCCAAAACCATAAATAATAACCCTATACTCTAAACCCTAAACCTACCTACCCAAACCATTAGTCTATATATATGGTCATGGTAATTCTGTACCATAAAATCCAGTTCATATGTTCGAGAAATAAAATTCTATCCACAAGGTCATGTATATATGATTTCCTAGAATATTACACAAAAAATAGTTTTGACCATCTATAGAAAATATCATTAATGAACTAATATCTTCAATAAAAATTGCCTTGATCACCATCACAATCTCCCACATAACATAGCTTTCGAGATCAACCGTTGCTGGAATCAGCTCCAAACATACTTCATTGTCGAAAGAGCTATCATTGTTGTCGTTAAAGCAAGAGCATCGATTTTGCGAGGACTGGTTGCGACTTGTTGGCTCGATGCTTCTTCGGATAATCTTCCTTCTCGTCTTAACGAATTTGATCAATCCCCATATCCCAAGAACCAAGAACAATAGTGCCAAACCTAGAACAAGACCTGCACAACGACGAAAAAAAACTATAAAGATCACTCCTTTTTGCCCTGTTATATGACTTTAGAATCTGGAAAAAAACTCCATTGATTCACCTTGAAACACAGGCTTGATCTTCTCTGCTTCCTTCGGCTCGCAACTCCACGATCCAGGAACATTCACACAAGTTTGTTCTCCACAGCTGTTTCGTCCTTTTCCTTCCTCACATTCATCAATGTCTTAAAAACAAAAAAAAACATAAAATGCAGAATCATATAAAACAAATCCTCGAGAATGGCCCTATCAAGCCTCGAGAATGGTTGAGAACCTAATTCCAGCTAGGAGACTCTAAGAATAATAACTTTTGTGATATCCTAACTACAAATACACAGTTTAGTGCAGCGTACTTAGGCCTGGGCATAAAATCCGAAATCCGAAAACCGATCCGAAACCGATCCGAAAAATCCGGCTCCGAACCCGAACCAAATAGTCACAAAACCCGAACGGATAATGAATTCTCCTATCCGAATTATCCGAACCGAACCCGATCCGAACCGAAAACCGAACGGATATCCGAAAACCGAAAATAAAATTATATATCTATAAATATTAGTTATATTTAACTATAATTTTATAACAAATAACAAAAATATTCTAAATAACTTAGATATTGGAAAATTTTTTGTTTTATTTGTTAAAATTATACATATTTTTGTAAAACTTAGCCAAATTTTAGTAAGATTAAACTATTTTTTTATTTAAATTGAACATTTTTTAGTTTTTTTCTTTCTCAAAAACCGATCCGAATCCGACACTATCCGAACCGAATCCGATCCGAATAGTCATAAAATCCGAACGGATAATAAACTCCCCTACCCGAATTATCCGAATCCGAATAAATCCGAACCGAATCCGATCCGAAATCCGAATGCCCAGGCCTGCGTACTAATGGAACAACAATACAAGACTCTACCAAAACAGCCATATTCAAGGATTGTACTTTGAATGCTAGAGCTAATGAATTGCAACCCTAATATTCACTTAATTCAGTTAAGAGTAGCCAACTAAGAAGTGTTCTTTCTCACACAGAAAAATCTAAAACCACAAAACTCAATAAAAAGCAAAAACTGAACTCCACCAACTCCAGGAAAATGGCAGATTCTCAATCATCCAATCGGTAAAACTAAATCGAATGGAATAGAGAAACAAAAGAGAAGAGGGCTAAGAATGAGAGAAAATAAACCTTTGGAAGCGGAGATGAGGGAGCGATACGCTTGCTCAAGGTTCGCAGAGCGGCGGCCGCCATCTCTCTGACCAATACAAGATTTAAGACGCTTATAGCAGTCATGCACTCTTCGAATCTCTTCTCTGTTCCTGCTTCTCGTTTGAATTTCCTCCTGAGATGGAGGCGACGGTGTCACCGGAGCTGGGAACGAGCTTACCACCGTAGAAGGGGATTGGGATTCTGGTTGCGGTGGTGGCGGAGGCTGAGATTCAGGGATTGACTCATACAGCCGGCGCTTTTTGATGGGCTGCTCGGCGCAAGCCATGGCAACGACGGAGAGAAGAGAGAGGAATGGTTTGTTTGAGGTGATGGGTAACTGTGGGGGTGATAGGGGAATGGTTTGTTTGAGGGTGTTTAGGTAAAAACACAGAAAGAAGAATAGTTAAAAGATGAAAGTGTGTTATTGTGAAAGAGAAGTTGAGAAAGTATGCTGGAGTGATATTATTCCAAAAAAAAAAGATATTTAAAAGATCAATATAACTTTTGTACTGTCATTAAGTACAATTTTTACGGTAAGTTCTAAAACTAGATATTGTGTAGCCTATATAGTAAAAGGACAACTCCACAAAAATAAAAATATTAATATCGATACAATTGTATGTCAAAGACTCAAAACATCCATTGAATTATTTTAAGAAATATCCCTATCAATATTAATATTTCTTGTAACTTAATTGCACTCACACTCACACTATCAAACACTAACATAGATGGCTGTTTTTGTTTTGTCCTATTTGATGTATCTTTCTCCTATAATATATACCAAAGCACATTTTACTTTTTAGGACGTATATGATTATGGTAAAATCAATTTTAACTGATTTTGTCGTTAGTTTACATCGTCGATTCCGTCGTTAGTCTCTCTCAAGGCAGCTTTTTTTTTTTTTTTTTTTTTTTTTTTTTTTTTTTTTTTTTTTTTTTTTTGATAAAATCTCTCAAGGCAGCTTAGTAGCTTAGTATATATTTTTAGTCTAAACGTTGATTTGGTATCTTACATTGCACTTGTCCTTAATTTACATTTGAGTAGTATAATTAATATTTGTTACTCTAAACATTCTGGTGGTCGCAAGAGAAAAAATATTGATTTGAAGTATTTATACTACTGTAAGTTCACAGTTTTATAAGTCTTTTTTAAAAAATCATAGTTAAACTTAAACCTACTTGGTTCATTGGTTACCAGCTAAAAATTGATGTTTGCTACACATAAATAATGACAAAAACGAAAAAATATAGGTAGTGCCTTAGTGGTGGCCTTTTTTTTTTGCTAAACCCGTTTAAAGAATAATGGAATCTATGCATATGGAACAACAAAACGCAGGAAAAAACAATTCATTAAAAATCTCTCCCAAATTCCAAAGGATTGTAATTGTACATTCGTACTACACGTTTTTGTCGACAAATATTCGTACTACACTTAGACCCATCATCTTTTATGGTAGGAAATCAGATTTTAATAATAAATGCTAAAACATAAATCATTGTTCTTGGGCAAAAAATAGTTGAATTTGGGTTAGTCATGTTATTTTTTAAACAGAAAAAGTAGCTTAGTTAAAAATTATTAGTTACTTTTATTTAATTTAATAAAATAGTTTTCAATTTTTCATTATGTTATATAGAGGTGTTTAAAAATATGAAAACACTATTTTATTATGTGAATTAAATCAGAAAATATGAAAATAACAGTGCACATGCGGAGAAAAGTACTTATCCAAAAGAAACAAAACAATTAAATATACAAAAGAAACAAAACAACTTATTGATGCACCACCAAGATCCAGTCATTGGCATGTCATCATCATTTTAGACGAGCAAAAACATAGAATTAGATTGGTAACATAATGTTGTACAATTTTTTTAACTGCTAGTTTGAGCGGTAATCTATTACAGAATAGTGTAAAGCTTTACAAAACAGTAGTATATGAGAGTTGTACAAAAAAGTTGAGAGTAAACTAACGTTTTTTATATCGCTTTTGTGATTGGTAACTCTCAAAGCGGTACACGACATACTGTAAGTGTATGTGATTACCATTCAAACCCATAATAATATTGGGTTTCCAAACCCTCTAGGTTTAGTATTTTGATTTAATTTTTAAAGATTTATTAGGTAGATGCTAGTTAGTCACTAGTAGAGTCAAATTAAAATTGACAAAATCTTGAGGTATAATTTTTTTAAATATTTTGATACATTTTATCGCATGTGTTAAAAATATAAAAGAGTTATATGTTATGTGATGTAGCGTGTTATATACAGAAAATGTTTTAGAAAGAAAAAAAATTGTATGTTGAGTTATTATGCAGATAGTAAAAAAGTGAAAGGTTAATTTTCCAAATAACCTTTCATAATTTGGCTTTCTACTATACATACTCCTTTTAAACTTATATATATTGTTTGTATGTTAGCAATTACAAAATTTGCAAAAAAAAAAAAAGAAGCTGTAAAAGCTATTTCCACTAAAAAGCTTCATATTCCAAATGTACTTTTCTAAATTACTGGTTTTCCCAAAATTTATTTTGATACACGTGTCTATGAATACGAGGTGGATTTGTCGTCAACTTAATTCTTCGTTTATGTCTAAAAAGAGAAAAATAAAAGCTGTGGGATGCAATTCTAGTCTCTCTATAACGCGCAACATCTCTCCAGCTGTTTTCACAAATTGTATCCCCATCTCTTTCATTTTCTCTAATGTATTCGTCTCTTTTTAATCGTTTTAGAATACTCTTTTGATTTTGGGAAAATACCCTTTTTCAAATTTAGCTTTTGGTTTTGCTTTAATTTATACGAAGAATCCACCCAAAAATATACAATTTTACATGTATAAAATAGATGATCATCAACCAATCTTTGTTGATACAAATAATATCCATCTTGTCGTCTAAAGAAAAGTTAACTACTCTAGTTAGATGAGTATTAATATACATATATAGATTTGTTGACGACACTATTAATTAGAATCAGAATGTTCTTGATTCCTACTCAATAAAGCTAAAAAAAAAAAAAGAAGCTGAAACTATTTCTGGAAATGCAACATTGTAATTAGAACATGCGTTGTTGTTTTTAGTGAAACTCAAACTTAAATTTGTATTGCGAATCAATATGTTCTATAATAAAAATAAATTAAAAAAGTAGGTACATTGAACTCATATTTGCAAAAGCTAGAACATGTTTTGTGCTTCGAAAATTAAATACTTATATTCCGACAAAATCAAATGGCCAATGAGTGACCGGGGAGCACTTTTGATCTTTGAATTATGTTTGTCTCTTCTCTTCGCTCCTTGGAGTGCGTCTTAGAACTAGTGGAGAGTTTCATATTCGGTTTGCTTTAACAAGCAAAGAAAGATATATATTCTATATTATCCGATTAATTCTAGAATTCGCTTAGAGTTTTTACGATATGTTAATCACAAATTTATCAGTGTGAATTCTCTAATTGGATAATAAATCTCATGTAAATAGAAGCAAAAATATCGATGGAGTTTATTTTAAACCTTTCTACAGCTCAAGTTAGGAAAAGAAACTACATAAATTATTTGAAACCTTTCAATGGGTTTTCTCATTCAACTTAACATGTAATACTCTCCGTTGTATACATATCTATATATTGTATGAAATTCCAAATTATATATGAAATTGTAACGATTAAAAAAAATCTGATATAAATTTCATACTTACAAAGACAATATGAACACGAAAAAGGTTGGAAACTGTAAAGTGAGAAACCAAGAAGGTCGTATCTGGCATGAACTTTTAGCTTTTTACGCAGATTTATATTTAATATTTCTATTTTTTATATAGTTTTATTTCCCGAATAGGGAATGTTAAGGTTATAGTGTTGCACTTTGCCTTTATTCACCCAAATTCAGCTTTCTGATGATTGTCCTTTTTTTTCTTCCACCGGAAGCAATAAAACGACCTCTATTGAGTATTGAACTATTGATTGAGATATTGAAATAAATAAATAAATAATATAATATTCTTTTGGGTTTTTTTTTTGTTTTGATTCGGTTCAAGACTTTTCGTAGAAAATTTTCTTGACAAAAAAAAAGTAGATTTTTTTTAATAGATGTTAAAAAGTAGCTAGAAATATTTTTTTAATATATATTACGACTGCAATTTCTCTTTGTTAAATAGTTTTAAGTTTATCAAATCAACGTTAATTAGCGTTGAGATTCTCTCCATAACTCGATTGAAAGCTATGGGCTCTTTAATTTGTCCATTATCTCGTAAATGCATTGGTTAGAGACAAATATAAAACAGAATGATTCGACGAAGCTGGTTTCATAACTAATGTATGTAACCCATGGATTCCTATTTTCAAAATTTTGTTTTATAGTCTTTCAGATTCCCACATATTTTTCATTTATGTTATGATTCGTTGATTGTTTTCTATTGGTCACTTATCCTATAATTTTCATAAATCAAATATACTTAAATTAACTGTACAACTAGATTGAATTTGTGAACCAAAAAAAAAAAAAAAACTAGATTGAATCATTTCCAACTAGACAGATATAATATTAGTATAAAATCAAATATATATAGTTCGTCGAAGTCAATTTTATTTGTTTTGAAACCAGTCATTTCTCTTCAATCGTCGTAAACATATATTTCGGAATCATGGTTTTGTAAGTAATTAGGTTATGTTTTTGGTATTTGAGTGTTTTCATTAATTTAAAGTCCATAATTAGATCATGATTTTGTAATTCATATACCATAGTATATCAGTATTGAATAAAGTAGGTATAGAGACTGTTTTGTACGAACCCATTATTGGAACCACTTTTGGGTGAACGTGTATGCGTGTGGATACCTCAACACATACACGCACATGCACACACCTAAATTGCGTATAATTTTACGATGTATTATAAATGTGAATATTGTATTAATTTTTTTTTTTAAGAATGTAAATATTCATAAGAATAAAAACGGTTTAAACTTACAATTAATGATTATATACCTAAAAAAATGGTTCCATGGCTAGAAAAAGAAAAAACATGGAAGCATAAACCAAAGTAGATATCATATCAGTCCATCCGCTCAACAAAAAATGATGAAGCTAAGGGAATTAGATGAAGCGATAACGATTTTGATTGTTCTTCCCAAATTTTGCTGGAGAAGAAGGGAATTGCAAGGAGTAGGAGCCGAATTGCGGAAGAATGTTAACACTAGAAACCTTTCACTAGACTTCCGAAAGATTGGACCGTCAACGGCAGATAACTCAAAATCCTCGATCATATGCGTTTCCTCTAATATGTGCGAACGACCTGAATATCACATTCATGAATTTTCCCAAAATGGAACCTCCCAAAACGACATGCATTAACCTTTTTTATCAACAAATATTACGACGTTGTTTCTATGTTGATTGATTCAAGCGTTAAGCATAGAATTGTCATGAAAACTATTTAAGTAGCATTTATATGATACTTCCTATTTCATTAGTCAGACATAAAACTTAGATGTAAATTTATCAATAAACTAACTCTTTTTACATTTTCAAAGTTTGGTGCATTCATCACGGATCAGGCTTTCATTCTCTAATCGAATTTGTTTTTTTTTCTCCGGCCTATTTATACTTTGAAAAAAAGAAACCTGAAAAAACGACTATATAAATTAAAGATAACTTTAGCTATTTTTAATGAAAATAATTTTATCTTCAATAACAATTTTATTTTCAAGTTATTAAAGGTTTTAGGCGGGTTTTGTTTAGATAACATGGTACTTTATCTCATATCATGCTATTTTTTTCTGAAAACATCCATAAATTAATATTATTAGGATTATAATATTTTATTATTGTGTACGTAGAGGTTATAATTGATAGACAAATTGAATATATATGAGATTTTATCCTCAAAATTGATTTTTTAAATTTTAAAAACACTTTAGTTACTACATATAAAATGTTGGTTAAGTTTTTTACTTTGTGAAAAAGGTCAAGAGAGGAAAATCTCAGCAATTTTACAAGAGATGACTTCTCACATAATATACAGGGCTATATAGAACTATACACCTAATAATTCCAATATGCCATCTATGATATATTTTTTCCGTAATTGTTTTAAAATGCTTCTTTAAGTTTTGTGTGATATAGTGAATAGCTATGCAATTTGATAAATAAAAACAGATTTATTTAATAATCGTACCAAACTAATCAGAACGATAAGCAAAGGATTACTTATAGACTTTTGATCTTTGATATTTGCGAAAAGAAACTTACATAATATGTCAAACAGTGGACTCGTTTGATATACAGTTTGTGGGCATTCAAGGTAACCTAAGAAGATTATATTATATCCCAAATTTTATCAATTAGAATCCAATTTCAATACCACCAAATTATAACGTAACAATCCGAATTCTAATTTCCAAATGACTAACACATAGATTAGGCTGTAGAGGCTGTGGCGCAATGGTCTTTATAAATATATCAATTTCTTATCTCTTGAAACTTAATTAGCATTAAGCTGTAATACCCACCTACAATCATGTATTCATATAACTTTATGTGTGTTAAAGTTATATTTAATTGTTTAAATTTTACATATATTATATATTATTAAGTGATTTGATTGTGAATTATCATCACATTTGGTTGCCATGAATAAGATCGTGACGAAAGAACAACAAAACAAACTGTGTCCTCATCGGGAAATAAGTAAACAAAGACAAAAATATCTCTGTCGTCTTTTATCATCAGTGTGTTATTGTGTTATAAAAAGTTATCTTGATTCGAATATGATAGAGACCCAAATATATAATTATAAATCACTTTTTATTCCTATATATAGTCCGAATCTATTTTATGTCACTGATATTTGATTATCTATATTTGATTATCTTAAACCACGAAATCAATGTATTTCTTTCACAAATTAATGAAGTAGAACGGATACATGTACATTTACATTTGAATTTATTAAAAACCTTATTTCAAAAAGCGTAAAGAATTTAGTATAGTGAATTAACTCACTTTCAATTGGTAATAAAATGGAAGAGTAAAATGGGGAAGTGGCAGAGGAACAGAGCCATGTAGGAGCCACACGAAGCACACATGTTCGTGTATTTGTGTAACAGTCAGCTACTACAAGTTGCAGCCGTACTACCATAATACATTAATTAAGGGATTAACTCTTTTAATAATATATAATCCTCTCTTATTGCTTAGTTTATGAAAGCAAACACTTTTTAAAGTCTAATAATCCCAAAATAAAAGCAAAACAAAGATTGACAAAAATCTAACCTAATCAACATCAGTCTCTTGTTTAATGTTAATTTCAACTTGGCAGTTCTTATCTATCCCAATCTCATATGGTTTATTATCATTCTTTTGTCTTTTTATCACTATTTTGTATTGTATCTAGATTGAATTAGATTCTTGAAATGATGTAATTGTAAGAATATCTAACGCCAAGAACTTTGGTATTAAATTTATATTTATTGGAAATAATGGACTTAAGGAGATAATATTTGTAGCTATATATTAATTACGGATGGCATGTCATCTATAATTTTTTTATTTTTTGTCAATTCGAAAAATCGTAATTTAAGCCATGATTTTTTTTTTTTTTTTTTAAACTTAATTTTGTCAATCTTAAAACCCTATTTTGTTCACTACAGTCATTTTCTTTCAATAAAATTCTTAAACTTCAAAAGTTTATGCTGTTGGCAAGTAAATACGTAAGCGTGTGTGAGAGTATATTTTTTTTTTGGTAGAACGTGTGTGAGAGTATATTGTACAGTTGTAACAGTGTTTTTGCTAAAAAGAAAAGAAACCATATGATTGAAACAATGGAATATATAAAAAGACATGTGATAAAACAATTATAAATATAAACAAGACACTTTAATGGATTTTCCTTGCAAGTCGTCATGCTCATGCACCTGTTCTAATTGCATGCTTACATATTGTCCATATATAACTTTTATTCCTTATAAAAATAAATAAATCAAAACTCAAATCAAATCAGATCAAAATATCAAAACTTTTGATAAAATTTCAACTGTCTTCATTTTGGTTCTTAATCCCTTGTGAATAACCATTAGTTGCTAGAAACTTCTTGAAAATTTCATAATAAAAAGTTATTCTTATTTTATATGCGAACAGAATATTAATAGTTGGAAGCAATACAAATACAATACCAAAACTATTATTCTTGATGAAAATATGAAAAAGCTAATCACAACTAATGTTCAGATTTCTAAAATTAGTTAGGCAGTAATCTGGCGTTCAAACATTGTCTAACTTCTTTTTCAAAAAAAAAAAAAAAACATTGTCTAACTCCTAGTAAATCAATCAGAGATTAATTGGAGATTAGTTTTTTTTATTCTTCTCCACATTCTTATTTTTAATATATTTTTACCACTTTTAGCCATTTATATATATTAAACAATGAGAAAAAAATTTCTACCAAAAAAAACAAGACAATGAGAAAAAAAGTAATCGTTTATAGGAAAAGTTATGAAGTTTTAAGTTCACTGATATTTTAACTAATTTAGCCACAATTAACATGTTTAGATAAGTTTTTTACATTCTTTTCTAAAGATGCAATATGTAAATTTGAAATCCGGCAAATGATACATATACGAATACGACATTAACTCAAACCATTATGCTAAAGTTCTAGTCGGTGCAACTTATATATATATGAAAAATAAACCATTGAATACACAACAAATTAAAAGACAATTCATATGTGTAGGTGGACATTTGTTTTTCCTTTATGTCTTTATTTTTATATGTTGAAAATAAAATAAAATAAAAAACTTTTTATTAAATAATAATAGTAATGGCCTTATGGGCTTTTTACTCTATCGTGTCCACAGTACCCCCAATAAACAAAAAAAATGTTAAAGAGCTCTCTCTCTCTTTCATAAAAAGGCAAGAGGAGAGCTAAGTACCAAACTTTTTCCCTCAGGGTTTTCCTCTCAAATTCACAACTTGGCCTCTGTCTTTTTTTTTTTTTTTTAGCTTTCTTTATGTTCTCTTCTTCTCTAAAAACTCATTTCCTACTTCCAAGAATTTCTCTCACAAAGACCAAGAACTCAAAATGTATCAAGACTCTGGATTAATGCTCCGTTACATGCAAAACTGTTCCCCAGATATTCAACAATTCGAAGACCTCTTCAAATCATACAAACTCTCCGATGAAATGGTCTGATTTTGCTTTCAATTCTGTTTTTTTTTTTCTTTTCACTGCATTTGATTACAGATCTTTCTTCTTCTTTACTTTAGATAAGTTTTTTTTTTTTTTTTACTTACTTTAAAACTCACTTTCTAGGTTTTGGTTAAAGATTCTGATAGTTTTTTTTGTTTCTTTTTTCCTTGTGAAGTAATTTCTCTACTAGTGAAGTAAATTTCCTGAAAGTTTTGTGGTGTTAAGTGTTAAGTGGCTTATTTGTTTTTCTGGTGAAAATTTTGTGGCCACTTGATGAGATATTTTGGTTTCGCTGACCTTACCAAAATGTGTTTTTGGCTGCTGAGAAAGTTGAGTAAGAAAAAATTAGGTTTGTTTAAAAGGAATAAAAATGGAATCTTTTTTTCTGCTGCAAAAAGCCAAATTTTTCTTTTCCATTGAAAAAAGGAGTTTTCTAGGGAAACTAAAGAAAGTCTCTTTTTTTGTTTGTGGGTTTTGATTTTGATAATGGGAATTACTCTTTATTTCACATGAGATTCCATGAATTCTGGAACATGAGGTTCCGTGTTGTTCAAGACTTGTTCTGTTCTGATTTTAATTACTTCTTAAAAACTAGAGAATTGATTTTGTGTTGTTTAATTGGCTCTTTCTTCTCAAAATCAATCCTCCACTAAAGAAAGACAAAAGATTCTTTTTTTCTCTTACCCTTTTTGAACGAATCCACTCAACAAAAAAGATCTGTGTTTCACTGTCTGAATGTCTCGAACTATGTTCTGTCTTGTGTGGTCTTATTGATTCGATGTTACTTTTGATTGTCCTTTTTTGCAGAACAACACTTTTGTTGAGTCATCAAACATATCTGAGTATGATATTGGAGAAGAAGGTGATCTTTTTAAAGCTCCTGATCCAATTCTTGAAGAACAAATCTTACCCGTTGATCCACTCTCTGCTGCTTTGACTATGATCTCTTGTGGTGAAGACACTTCACAAGGTCTTTGTGAGCTTCCTGATCTTGGTTCATTGCAGAGTGGTCAACAGCTTCTTGACAGTGCTTTTTATGAATGTGAGCAAGATCTCATGATGAAATCAGCTTTGGAGTCTCCATTCTCTGATGTTTTAAACATCAAGAACATCTCTGTTGTGACGACAATCAATGAGAACCAGGATATGCAGAAGAGTGTTAGCTCGGGGAATTTGAGCTCTATGGATTGGTCACATGCACAGAAAGAGACTGTAATGATTCAGAATTTTCCTGATTTCGATTTTGGTTATGGGATGCGAAGAGCCTTTAGTGAAGGCGACATACAGGTTTGACATTAAAAAACATAAAAAATCGATCTTAAGTGAAAGTTTTGTGCGAATCATCAAGAACTTGAAACAAAATTGTATCCTTTATAGACTAATGATGAATGAATATGATGTGTTGATTTGTGTATCTCTTTTGCTTTTAATAAGCAGAAACTAGGGACATGTCTTGTACAATCTCCATTGGATAGGATTATTGTGAGCTGTACTTCAGAGGATCGCCGTGAGAAGCTTTCTCGATACAAGAACAAGAAGAGCAGGCGAAATTTCGGGCGTAAAATCAAGGTATACAAGCGAAACACTTGAAGTCATTTTAGCTCAAAAACAAGCACTTGAAGATCCTCTAAATGTTGTTTGGTTTGGTTTCAGTATGCTTGCAGGAAAGCTCTTGCAGATAGCCAACCTAGAGTCCGAGGAAGGTTTGCGAAAACAGAGGAGAGGAAATAGAATGGTACAAAAAAGGGCTCAAAAGAAGGAGACTAAGCAAAAGGAAGAAACTAGAAGAAGAATAAGGAGATAAAGCCCATCTCATTAGAAACTAGTTTTGTTTTATAATCTATGTATAAAACTTTAAAATCTTATAAGCATCCAATTAGTTTTTGTATATAAAGGGTTTCTCTAAATAAGCTTTCAAGTAAAGAAATTGTAGCTAAAAATGTTCGTATTATTGTAGTGTACCGGTGGTGAGAGATGTAGATATAATCTATAAATCTACATATATATTTATAAATACTAGATCATGTGATATAAAAAAAAGGTGTTTGATGTTTCTTTGCTTGTAAGCACTGCAACAAGTTAGATTTCAATCTTTGTAACAGATTTCACATATTGCATTTTCATTTTACTTTTTTCATCTTTTTGACACTATATAGTTCTCAATGTTAAAACGCTAGCAACCAATAAAAGTATTTGGATGCTGAAACATCATGTCATGTCATATCATGTAATTGTTGGTTTGTCCATAATGATTTTGTTTCTATGATTTGCTATTTAGCCAACCATAGGAGGTCATGTGTAACGAAGACACACATTTACCAAAATAAAGAATGGTGCTTCCCTAGCTTATGATCAAACCCGTTTTTCGACATTCATCCTTAAAGAAACCAGTTTGGTCCTATGCATTATGAATTCTTCTTAGGATCCCCTCAGCTCGAATGTATGGACCAATGATAACATTCGACTCCGAGTCGAAATATAACTAAACGATACCGCGCGCAGTCGGTTGAAGATCCCGTAAACCTTGATATTTCCTGAGATAACGAGTTTTCTATCGGTAAAACACCATTGATGTCAAATTTTACAAAAGAGACGAGAGTTTCAGCTTTCATGTAATGTATGTGGAAGATCAATTCTATGATGCCTTGGACAATAATGTAATAGAAAATGTTCCTTTTCTCAAACTTCTCTACTCATGAAATCCAGTTACAAAAAGATAAATCGGAAACTCGCTGGAAAAATCAAATCGGATCATCGCAGAGAGACCGGGACAAGTTACTTACTCATTTGGTCTCCTTGTTTTATTAACTAAGTTGCACATGTTTCTTGCTCAATAACTACTTTTAGCAATATTATTGGTGCAACTGTTTTAAGTGCTTTTACGCTATACATAGTACATAAAAATGCAGTGAACACATTGACACATCAATTTCACCATTCAAAAAAAAAAAGGCATTCTTTTGGTGTTTTCAAACTACTCTTATGTCTATTTTATCGATTTTATTGTATTTTTTTCTTTTCTCAACCTCTAAATATTTTCAATATATATTAACAATCCCAGAATTTCTTTTACTCAAGTCATGGATTTCCAACGAAAACAAAAATAAATCTGTACCTACCAAAAAAGTCGACTTCTTTTCACAATTTTATTAAGAAAACGAGAAGAGACTTTAAAATCAAGTGAATGAAATAAATAAATAAAGAGTTATGAATGACCAAACCAACAGAAAAGAGCTCGCGTGTACAGTGTCGTAATCGTACCATGTAACTTCCAGTCCCAAGTTCCATGGTTCTTGGAGCTTATTATTAGCTTTAAAAAAACATCAAAATAAGAGAAACAAAGTTCGATTTTGAAATTGAAAGAAACAAAAAAACATGAAGGAGAGAATTGGTCTAAATACGTTAAACCAGAAGACAAGAAACGAAGAAGAAGAAAAACATTGGCGCAAGTTAGCCAATTCACATCATTCTCCGGTAATGTGCACAAGTCCGATAACCAAACCAATCTTTTATTTTATTTTTATTTTTCTTCTCTCTCTCTCCCTTCTCGTCGTCGTCTTCTCTCTCTCTTAATACTCTCTGTCACGCTCTCTCTCTCTAAAATTTTCCCTCACCGAGCAAAAAAAAAACAAAGCTTTCGTCTTTGGATTAAACAAAATTCAGCATTCTGTTTTTTCCTTATCCAAATCAAAAACAAAGTACGCATTTTGTTTTTATTCTGGGTTTCTTATAATTTAAAGAAAGACAGAGAGCGAGAAAAAAATAAAGTTAGGATTTTTCCGAAACAGATCTCTTTCTCTGTTCTTTCCTGTTTTTGGGTAAATTTTTTCAAAAGAAAAGAATTTCTTCTGCGACTTTGCTACGATCTCCGATAGTGGGTCAAACCCAACAGAGGATTATCTGGTTTATGTTCGTTGAAAGACTTGAACTTTTTGGAGAATTGGGGAAAGATTAGGGTTTGTGGAATTTGAAAAAAAGGTTTGTTTTTTATAGTTGGGTTGAGGAAAATCAGTGAAACATCTGTGATGCAGTGATTGGTAATTCGAATCAGAAGATATGATAATCAAACGGAAATTGAAAACTCGAATGTCGAGTTTGAAACGATGTAACTCGACTAATGAAGAAGATGATAGAGCTAAGAAGAAGAGAAAGGTCAACTTCAATGGTGGTGGTAGTAGTGGTGGTGATTACTATTATCCTCTTAATCTTCTTGATGAGATTGGTGTTGGGATAGTTCCGGGTAAGAATGGATTCTCTGTTTCTTTGTGTAAGGAAGTTGAGGTGGTGGAGGTGGAGGAGGAGATAAAGTCAAAGAGATTAGTTTCTGATACTAGCCAACGTGGGAGAGATAGGGTGGGTGAGGTTTCACGGCCACCGCTTGTGAGGACATCTAGAGGAAGAGTTCAGGTGCTTCCTTCACGGTTTAATGACTCGGTTATCGAGAATTGGAGGAAAGATAGTAAAAGTAGTGGCGAAGAACGCGAGGAAGAGATTGAAGAAGAAGCATGCAGGAAGGAGAAAGTCAAAGCTAAATTTACTCCTAGGAACTTTAAGTATAGTAGTAGTGCATTGTGTGAAGAGAGAGATGATGAGGATAAATGTGAAGAGATTGGTAGATATGGTAATATGATGAGTTCACGGAATTCGGTTGCTTCTCTTCAGGAGCAGCGTTATGTAGATGATGAGCCTCGTCCTAAGAAAGAGGGTGTTTATGGGCCAGAGGATTTTTATTCGGGTGATTTGGTTTGGGGTAAATCTGGGAGGAATGAGCCGTTTTGGCCGGCTATTGTTATTGATCCAATGACGCAAGCGCCTGAGCTTGTTTTGCGTTCTTGTATACCTGATGCAGCCTGTGTTATGTTCTTTGGTCACTCTGGGACAGAGAATGAAAGGGTATGTGTGTATAATGTTGTCTTCTTGTGTGATTCTAAAAGCTGTTTGGTTGGCTAACTTGATTATGTAAGCAGGATTATGCATGGGTTAGAAGAGGGATGATTTTCCCATTTGTGGATTATGTAGACAGGTGAGTTGATGCTAGAATCTTACGAAATAATTGTTTTTGATTTATATGTGGATATTTTGCTTAATAGTTTGTTGTTATTTAGGTTTCAAGAACAGTCTGAACTGCGTGGATGCAACCCTAGGGATTTTCAGATGGCACTTGAAGAAGCTCTTTTGGCAGACCAAGGGTTCACAGAAAAGCTGATGCAGGATATTCACATGGCCGCAGGTAACCAGAGTTTTGATGATTCTGTCTACAGATGGATTGAAGAAGCTGCAGGCTCGAGCCAATATCTTGATCACGTTGCTCCAAACCAGGCAACTTTCTCTTTGCTTGGGGTTTCCTTTTTGAGCATGTAGAGTTTATTATTCCTTGATGGTTATAGAAATTAAGTTTATATATTTTGCAGGACATGAAGAAATACAGAAATCCAAGAGCCTGCGTAGGATGTGGAATGATTCTTTCTTTAAAGATGGCACAGAAAATGAAAGCTCTGATTCCCGGAGATCAATTATTGTGTAAACCTTGTTCAAGGGTATGTAAAGTTTTTGCTATGCTCCTTCTTGTTCAGTTTCAATTCGATGAACTCAACTAATTTTATCATTGCAGCTGACAAAACCGAAACAGGTTTGTGGGATATGCAAGAAGATATGGAATCATTTGGATAGTCAGAGCTGGGTAAAAAGCATACAATTTATGTTATATTTGTAGGGTAGAATCAGCTAATGTGTTCTTGCAATTTTACCGTTTAATTACATATTGTGAATAAGGTGCGTTGTGATGGGTGTAAAGTCTGGATTCACTCAGCGTGTGATCAAATATCACATAAGCATTTAAGGTACATGTTCATGTTGCTCTTTTTCAAGGTTATCATTCGCACTTACTTTCATGTATTGAGATCAATTTCATTTGTTATCTGAAGGATTTGGGGGAAACAGATTACTATTGTCCCACATGCAGAACAAAATTTAACTTTGAGTTATCAGATTCAGAAAAACAAGACTCAAAATCCAAGTAGATTTTCTTTCCTCCAACTGTTATTGTTTATTCTTACTAACAATTGAATTGTGAAAACCATATTCAATTTGAGATTTTTCTGGTATAGACTTGGCAAAAACAATGCCCCAATGGTGCTTCCTGATAAAGTTATTGTTGTATGCTCTGGAGTAGAAGGCATATATTTTCCAAGCCTTCATTTGTAAGTCGTCATTATGTGATCTCTATTTCACATTGTTTTCACTTTTCTTGCCTCATAATCACTCTAGAACTGGGCAAAGCAACCACCTTTTAATCTCTATCTAATCCAGAGTTTTAGCTATCTATGTTGAATGATTTATAGAGTATTCTTACTCCGTTTGGTTTATTTACAGAGTCGTATGTAAGTGTGGATCTTGTGGACCTGAAAGGAAAGCACTTAGTGAATGGGAAAGGCATACTGGTTCAAAAGCAAAAAATTGGAGAACTAGTGTTAAAGTTAAAAGCTCCAAGCTGCCGCTAGAAGAATGGGTTTGTACAAATTTTCTTTTTTCCTCTTAAGGAATATGATCTCCTTCTTTTAAATTTCTCCCATCAGTCGCAAAAAGTTTGAATGGTATATTCCTTCACACTGCAGATGATGAAATTAGCAGAGTTCCACGCAAATGCTACTGCAGCAAAACCTCCTAAACGGCCCTCTATAAAGCAGAGAAAGCAGAGGTTGCTTTCCTTTCTTAGAGGTATTAAGCAATTCAGATCTCAGCACATATCCAATGAGTTTCTGCTGCGTTGCGCGCTGCTTAAGCAGCTGGCTTGTTTTTTTTTCACTATTGGCAGAAAAGTATGAGCCGGTAAACGTAAAGTGGACAACCGAGCGATGTGCAGTTTGCAGATGGGTTGAAGATTGGGACTACAACAAGATCATTATCTGCAACAGGTGCTGTTCTAAAATGCGTAGTTTGTCTAAAACTTTTCGACAAATAATAGATTCTGACTGAAAAGCATTATTTCATGCATAGAGTAAACCATTGTTATAATATTGAAGTTTCTTGCTATTGTTATTCAGATAAAAACAATAGTTGCTTTCTTGGAATCACGAGACAGTTCTTATAATATTGAAGTTTCTTGCTATTGTTATTCAGATAAAAACAATAGTTGCTTTCTTGGAATCTTTACTGGAAAAATACCTGACTTGTGAAGCATATTCTGGTATCATTGAATATTAAGTGTTCTGTACCTTTTTCTCCTCAGATGTCAAATAGCAGTTCATCAGGAATGCTATGGGACGAGAAACGTTCATGACTTCACATCATGGGTCTGCAAAGCCTGCGAGACACCTGAGATCAAACGAGAGTGTTGCCTCTGTCCTGTAAAAGGCACGTCTTTTTTTGCGTTTCTTATTTGGTGAAGCATATTTAACATGGTCTTGTCTTATTTTACTGACAACTATTGCAATCAGTAAAAGGTGTTCTTCACCGTAGTGATTGATTTTCCTTGTGGCACCTAGAGCTTATTTAGCTATCCATTCCCCTCGGATCTATAGTTATTTTGCATTGTTGCCCATCAACTAAATTTGCCAATTTTTGTGTACACTGATAAATAGGAGGTGCATTGAAGCCAACGGATGTGGAGACACTGTGGGTTCACGTGACATGTGCTTGGTTTCAGCCTGAAGTATGTTTTGCAAGTGAAGAAAAAATGGAACCAGCTTTGGGAATTTTGAGTATTCCATCAAGTAATTTTGTGAAGGTACATACATACCTGATTCCTGGATATCGCGATAATCTGATTAGCTCCTGCAGTTTACTTGTTCCTAACCTTTTGGGAACTTTCACTATGTGCAAAACTAAAAAGCCAGAAATCTTCTCCTGTTTTTGATATATTCCAGATTTGTGTAATATGCAAGCAAATACATGGCTCATGCACTCAGTGTTGCAAGTGCTCTACGTATTATCATGCCATGTGTGCTTCCCGAGCTGGGTATAGAATGGAGGTAAGCCATATTATTTCTGATTTATCGTCGTTCCATACTAAGTTCTTTATTATCTAACTCCCGCATTTGACCAGTACGGTGCTGTAACATTTTTGTATTTGAACTGGTATTTCGTAAACTATGTTCAATCTCTAACTTTTTTTTGGTAACATATGCACTTTTTGACTGTAGTTGCACTGCTTGGAGAAAAATGGTCGACAGATAACAAAGATGGTGTCGTATTGTTCTTATCACAGGTAAATGTTCTCAATACCTTGCTTGCAAAATCTTTTCCATCTGATTTTGGGTAATGAATTTTGTGTTCTCTATTGTTTTTGGTGTAGGGCTCCGAATCCAGATACTGTGTTAATTATACAAACGCCTTCAGGGGTCTTTTCTGCGAAAAGTCTTGTTCAAAATAAAAAGAAAACAGGTTCGAGGCTTATTTTAGCAAACAGAGAAGAAGTTGAAGAGTCCGCCGCAGAGGATACCATACCAATTGATCCATTTTCTTCTGCACGTTGTCGACTATATAAAAGAACGGTTAATAGCAAGAAGGTATTTTTGTTGAATCTTCAAAAACTCTGTATGCATAGGTTTAAATCCTTTTTGTTTAGTAGGACTGATCCATTATGTGGGTGTTTATGATTTTTAGAGGACTAAAGAAGAAGGTATTCCTCACCACAAAGGAGGACCACGTCATCATCCTTCAGCAGCGATCCAAACTTTGAACGCATTCAGGGTAAAAGATAATATTTCTGTAGAGCCAATATGAATAATGCACCTGGAAAAGGCAACTTGGTACTGAGTCATTTTGTTGAATATAATGTGTAGCATGTGGCAGAAGAACCCAAATCATTTTCCTCGTTCAGGGAGCGGCTTCACCACTTGCAGGTAAGCATTCTTCGCATATCTGAAGGAGATTGTAATATGTAGTTGTATCTTGTTGTAATAACATCTTACAATTTTCATGTGTTGTGACAGAGAACAGAAATGGATCGGGTCTGCTTTGGTCGATCTGGGATACATGGATGGGGCCTTTTTGCAAGAAGAAATATTCAAGAAGGAGAAATGGTAAGCAGAGCCATCATAGCATACTTATTTTAAGATCGGATTTCCTCTGGTGTGTTGAAGAATGTTGAAATTTAATTTCTTTTCAGGTTCTTGAATACCGTGGGGAACAAGTAAGAGGAATCATTGCGGACTTAAGGGAAGCAAGATATCGTAGGGAAGGGAAGGATTGCTACGTGAGTTGAAAGCGATATTTTCCTTACGACAGTCTTAACATGGGTGCGAGCATAGATTTCTGAAACTTTATTGTTTTAAATTTGTTGCAGCTTTTTAAGATCAGTGAGGAAGTAGTGGTGGATGCGACAGAAAAAGGGAATATCGCTCGACTAATAAACCATTCGGTAAGCAATCCATCAAGTATACAAATAAATTGAGTGACTACCAACAGATTTAGAGTCTTGAGTCCAAAACCCAATGGTGTGTTGTGTGATGCAGTGTATGCCAAATTGCTATGCAAGGATTATGAGTGTAGGAGATGACGAAAGTCGGATTGTTCTGATTGCCAAGACCACTGTAGCTTCTGGCGAGGAGTTAACGTATACACATCACTCTCTCAAACACAATTAAAAGTATATATCACCCTTTGATTCATTGAATATGACATGGTTGTGTGTGTTTTTGCAGATACGATTACTTGTTTGATCCAGATGAGCCTGACGAATTCAAGGTGCCGTGTCTATGTAAATCCCCCAACTGCAGGAAATTTATGAATTAGAGAAAGTTTTATGTAGCTGCTCTTACACATAAGAAGAAGAAGAAGCTGAGTATCGTTTTGTCCTCGATGACTACTAACCCAAGAACCTGTTACTCCCCACACTTGAATAGGAAGCTTATGGAGCTTAAAGCTGATGAAACTTCTCAATAAGACACTTCTTCAAAGCTCCAGGGCGTTTGTTTTGTAGGTAATAGAACTAGAGGGAGGGTTGTAGCTAAGTCCTTTTTCACATTTGCCATTTGTGTATAGCTAATTTTCAAACCTTATCCGTCTTAGGGTTTCGATTACTCGAAAGATCAAAAAAGCAAAAAGAAAGACAATGCAAAGCATTTTTGGTTGCTATAATGTTTATTTTCTTTTATTATTTCTTTCGGCACGAAATGAGTAAAATGATTATAAAAAAAGGAACTGGAGAAGAATATGAAGCAATGGATTTTGAGAAAGAAAAAAAACTGCATTGGAAGTAAAATGATTATAAAAAAAAACAAAACAGAAATGAGATGGAATTATAGAAATGTCTTAATGTGTACTTTGAGGTGAATGATGTATCCGACTTATTACTGACTCATCAGATTCATGAACTAATGGTTCTGTTACCTTCGGAGATACATCCCCAACAACTACACTTCCATCTCCATCACCATCATCAGCTTCAGCTTCCTCACCATCATTAGCTTCCTTCTTCTCTTCTGCTTCTTCCATGTTCTCGTCTTCAGACAAATCTTTCCGCTCATCAACATCCATAGCCACGAGAGCCGGTGAAGCTACTGTTAAGGTACCTGGATCACCTTCTGGAACACCATCAGGCTCAGGAGCTGTCTCCATTGTTTGGCCTACACCAGCTCCATCAACTAGCTTTGCCTCTTGCTCATCACCTTCAATGTGGTCTAAAGCCACAGCTTCCTCATAAACTTCAATGTGATCTGACGACACAGGTTTTAGAGCCTCAGGATTGGGAGACGAAGATCCCTCATCTTGTGTTTCTGTCTCCATTTCGGCACCAGCATTTGACGATACTTTTTGCGGTCCCTTTTGGGATGTGTCGGAATCTGATACATCCGCAATTTTCATATCTGTTGTCTCAATTGAACTATTTACTTTCATTGCATCATTCAGATCATAATTGTCTTCAACTTTAACTAAGTTGGAAGGAGGCACTGGAGGAGGCTGGTGATTTTTGACATTTGGAAGACCCTTTATTTCAAACCTTTGCTCCTTGTAGAAGTCCATAGCTACCTGCAAGTGGGAAGCTCAGGTTATTGTATTGACATAAGTCTCGAATTGCCAGGAGCTACTACCAGAATCTTATTTTCCTTGTCTTAGTACCTGAAACACTGAACTGTTTTGAGATGGAAACAGTGAAAGAGCCGTCAAAGAAGTACTGTTGCTTTTGGGCACTCTCTTCCCACCTTCCTGTCATTAAAAGAATATATATGAGAAAAGGGCCTCAAAGTTGCATACAAATAGAATGATTGATGTGTATATCTGAGGATGGAGAATTTTACCTTGAGATTTACAAACACGGCAGTACCGTCATCAATTGCTAGATGTTCTTCACCTATCAATAAACTAATGCATTTACGCAGCTCGGGATCAGCAAGTCCTGCAGATACATCAAGTTTTGAGAGATAATGCCGGCAGTAACGTTCAGTGTTATCAATTGTTTCTGAAACAGGATTTTCAGCTGCAACTTCCACCATCTCTTTAGGAGAACTTGCATGCAGTTCTTTTGCTGGAGATGTTAGATTCGACCCAGCTTCAACACTTTTTGCCCTGTTATTATCAGAGTGGCTTGTTTGGCCGCCAAGAGACTCATCATCAGCAACCTGAGCTGAGTTATCATCTTTGACAGACATTGATGAGACTTCCATGCTCGCATCTCCATTTCGAGTTTTCCATTCATCTGCACCAGATTCCCAGCCCCGGGCATTCATCCGCCTGTTATGATCCCACTCAGAGCCCCCATACATGTTTGATTCATCCCTGAAAACACTATTACTCATATCCCCGAAAAAACCATGCATGTGAGAAGCGCCTGAGCCATCCATAATATTCTGCCACCCAAGTGGACGCATGTGACCAGAGAACCTCTCAGCGTCAGGTATATGGTAAGGGATTCCCTGATGATTCATTTCCATTGAAGGCCTCACCCCAAAGAGAGATGGAGATGGAAATTGTGGCATCATAGTTTGGAAAGCTCCATGAGGTGGAACGTGTTGAAATGGAATATATCCATTTGAAAGTGGAGATGGCCAACTTGGGACACCTCTCCACATATTACCTTGCCCTCTTGCCATCATCGCATCAACGCCGCCTCTCTTATAACGTCCACCTGTATTGACCCTGTTATCTTCTTCTCGAGGGCCAACTCTAGGGCTACTCCTAGATTCAGGTCGTGGAGGGAAAGAAGAATTGTTTTGGTTGGCTTTATTGTTAAAGGATAATTCTGCCTGGGACGTCTCATCTACCAAAAGCCTTTCCTCCTCAGTTGCTGAATAATCCCTAGCATTGTTCCTATGACCTGTTTCTTCAACCTCAAGACTCCGTCTTGGACCACCGCGATTGTTGTATCTCCGGTCAAGACTAGTCGAAGAGGGAGATCTTTCAACCATTGGTCGGGGTGAAGCTTTTGCGGCAGAAGACCTTTCCACCGGAAACTCGCCCAAAACACCATCTTCCATATTTGCTGTTTTCTCAGAAACTTTATGTCTTGTACCTCTCTCCGATCCTCCAGACAGCTCAGCCGCCTCCCTAGACGAAGCCCCTTTCGTTATCTGGTCTGACGCATTCCTGTTTCACCACAACAAAATTTTGATCAATCTCAACTTTCAATCTTCTTCAAAAGCTTACCACAAAATATAAAATCTGAAATTCAAGCAGCAGCCTAAATCTCCATTAGAATAAATAACTCCACAACTGAAAACTAAATTCCAAAGATAGCACACAGAACGTTTCCAAGTACAAAGAGCACCATTCACATCACTAAACTGCTTAAAGGAAAAATCATACCCATTTTCTTCTTGAACCACCGAACTGGAAAGTTGACGCTCTGATCTTGTCATATCACCATCAGGCTCTGCTCTGCTACTCCTAGAGCCCACGATTACCTCCTGATAATCCTGATATTCTGGAGACCTCCTACCGTCCCTCCTATCCTTATACCGACCACTTTGATCATCTATACGCGACACATCACGATCATTATCCCTTTCACGATCGCTTTTACTTCGTTTCCCATCATGATAATAGTCACGACTACGGTCTTTTTCTCTGTCATGGGTCCTGTCCCTATCATGATCCCGGTCACGATCTCTGCTCCTATCACGGTCCCAATCCCGTTCATGGTAACGATCATGCTCATAATCCCGTCGATCGCGATCACGTTCTCGATCCCTATCTCGATCACGGTCCCTATCTCGCTCATAATCACGATCACGATCCCGAACTCGTTCGCGGTCCCGTTCATTTCGGTCACTTTCTCTATCATAGTCCCGATTGCGTTCCCGGTCATGGTATCCATCAAGTTCACTGTCAGGCTCATGACCATGGTCATTATCCTGGAATTTAGATTTCTTTTTACTTTCATCTCGGGTGAGCTTTTCATCAGACCTCGGATGTTCTTTAGTTGGTCGGTCATCTTTCTGCTTGTCACCTTTCTGTTTGATGTCTTCTTCTTTGTCTTCCCGATATTTATCTCTGCTTTTCTCCCCCTTATGTTTTCCATCTTTAATGTAGTCATCTCCAGAAGTGAGAAGCCGGTCGCCAACATCATCACTGTTATCTTGATGCTTGTCTCCAGTACCATGATCATCCCTCTTACGCCTTGATCTCTTCTCAGTATAATTTTCTGTACCTGGACTCCTTGCATGATCCTGAGCTTTCGACTCTGAATCCAAAAGTAAGAGAACAGTTAGCAAAACCCTTTGCAGCTTTCTAGACTATCCAATTAAATGTGAGCAATCATTTACTAAATACACATACGTTTACAAATTTACATATTTGTTAACCAGTAAAACACAGCCTCAAACGTAAACGAAAGTAAAGTAGCACTACCTCCATTCATCTTAGAAAAGGCAGTAGAATAGAAGAAACGTGAAATGACAATAACCACTTCAACAATCTATACTTATACATACAAAGATGCTAGATCCCCATTCTTAGGAAAAGGCATCTAAGTTCTTCTTCTGGCAAGAACTTTGATTCATTTCCAATCCAACAATGGGCATGGAAAAACAAGTAATTAAACAAAAAGAACAGTCTTTCAAAACAACATAACTAAAAAGCAATGTGTCCATTTTCAAGTTCCTACAAATCAATCATTTGAATCAGGTCAAAATCTCTTACCAGTTTTATCAGAACCAGCCTTAGTAGACTTATGATGATCATCACCATCATAAAACTTGTCACTTTTCCCATCTTTATACTTCCTATCTTTCTCCTTATCAACATCTTTACTCTCCCTTCTACTAGACTCTCTATGCTTCCCATCACTTTTACCACTACTCTTCTTCGTCTCCTCACCATCTCCCTCATCTCTCTTCCTACTCTTCTCACTCGACACCTTCGTCTTCTTCGAACTCTCGCCTTTCTCATCATCCTTACCATTCCACCTATCACTACCACTCTCACCACTCTTCCCTTTCCTACGCTTCGACGAAGAAGAAGTATACTCTTCATAATACTCACCATTAACAGAATCATAATACTCTTTTCTTTTATCACCAGAACCAGACTCCTTCGAAACCCTAACACTAGCACTACTCTCTTCTTTACTCTTCTTCTCCTTCAAACTCGTCTCTTTCTCCGAATCAGAGTAATCCTTCGTCGCATCTTTATGCTTACTCGATTTATGCCTCGTACTCCTTGGCATCTTCCACAATCTCTAACAATCGCTAAAAACCCAAAAATTCGATTTTCAAACCCTAAATCGAGGTTTTTAGAGACTTTGATTGATTGAATCTTACAGCGGATTTATAAATGAAAAAAAGACTCCACGGCGGTTAAAGAATCTAGATCGCCGGCGATTCGAAAGCCGGCGGCGAGATTTAATTGGAGAAAATTACAAAAGAACCACGGAGCGGGAGAGATAGGGAAGATAGAGAGAGGCTTAATGCCCTTTCGATGTTGAAGAAAACAAGAGAAACTGTTTTTTTTTTCAGACAAGAGGAAGACTAAGGGATAATTTGTTTAATGACTATATTAACCTTTAATCGTGGGTTTTATTACGGTTTTTGCCACGCAGGTTATCACATCGGATTTTGCTTTCGTCCGGTTTTTAGTAAAAGTAGTGGTTCGGTTATTTCTCGCTAAGGTCGTGCCACGTCACGCGCGACTCAAATACTGGTTACAGCTGGAGCCCATTAAAGGCCTATTAATAAGTTAGTGGCTTAGTAAGGCCCAATAATAGTTCTTTAGCTAATAACCATATTAAATTAACCATTAATCGTGGGCATTATTACGGTTACGCCATGTCATCGGATCGAATCTCAAAACTGGAGACAGATGGAGCCCATTAACGGTCCATTAAGAAGGTAATGGCCCAAGAAGGCCCAATGAGAGAGTTGGGATGAGATATGTGAGAGGCAGAGGTAGACGTGGGTCGACCTCGAGGCGCGATGCCTCAGGCGTACTTCATCACGCAACTCTCACGAGCTTCTCTGTCGTTATATACGACTTTCTATTTTTTCTTCTGATTTTCGAAAGAATCTAACTTTTGAATTCTTCGTCTCAAGATCTCTCTTTATCTCTCTATCTGTTTGACTGGTAAGCTTTTGATTCGAGTATTGTAATGATTGATGAAATGATTGTTTTGTTTGCGGAATTAAGTTGTTCACGTAATCTCTCTTCGACTCTTGTTTCTCTTAATTAGAGAAAGATTATGACTTTCTTGATTATTACAAAGAATTAGTGTTGGTGGATTGAGTTTCCTTTAATAGTAATGTGAATCAGCTGTGTTAAATTATATGTAATGTGTGTTGTGAATGATTTGATATAAAGTTGATTGCTTTTGAATTTGTATGTAGAGGGTTTTTGTTGGATGGCACTTTGTGGTGTTTGTTCGACTCCAAATCTGCCGAATTTGCAAGTGTTTCGTTCTGTTAGAAACTCGAGCATTGGTTTGAAACGGAACCATAGTCTATGGCAATCCACAAGTTCATTTCGTGCAAACGTTGTGAAATTTCATTGTTCATCTTCCTTAAGACCGTCATCATCTAATGTGGAGGAGATAGACGAGGATGTTGATAATAATCCTTCGGTATCGTTGAATGGTGAATCAGCAAATGTGATGCAGTTCAAGTGGTCTGATTTCAAGATTCTTGATTGTGTTAGCATTGGTCATGGCGGCAGGGTATTACCAATTCGATGATTTTCAATGTTTTCTATGTTTGTTTTGGATTAGCCTCTTATTGAGTTTACTTTCTTACAGGCAGATGAGCTTGTGTTTGAAGCTATAGTTCAGGTGCCAGATAGGTCAGTATCTACTTCATATGTATTACAAGATTTCAAGATGAATTTCAGGAGCTTCATCTGTGGTGCTTCAATTTCACAGCCCTTTGTTTAACCAAGGAGTTGTCCTTCGGAAATTGAATACCACTCGAGCTCAAAGAAGAGGAAGAAGAGCCATAGAAGTTCGTCCTCCCTTTTCGTTTCCCCTTTAATCTATTGTGTTGCTTATATTGTAATCTCTTCAGATTGTTAACCGGATTTTTAAATACTTGCAGGTGTTTAAAAAGCTAGTTCGTCGGAGACTTCTCTACCATTCTTACTCAATGCAAGTTCACGGTTATATCTCTAATAACTTGAGCGATGATCAGTACTCATTTACCCTCGTACATGGGGTAAGTGTTTGTCTCTTTACCTACTTATATGTTCAAAATATTGCAGATAGACTGTTTCATCATATGTTTTTACCATTCATTAATTTGTATCTCTTCTTGCAGTGCCATGGAAGTTTCTCGATTAGGCACTGGCTTCAACAATCTGATTGGCTTCCAACATTAGAAGCTACTCTTGCATTAGATGAAGAATCCTTTAGAAGGGTCGGTGATGATACAACTGGAGGGCCTGCAGTCTCGAGGCAGTTAAGACTAATCCGTATACTAATGAGGGATATTTTGATTGGAGTATGTATTGGGTCCTTCGAACAAGCAGCATATTTCTTACTTTTCGTTGTGATCTGCTTAACATGTTTTTTGGTGTTTTCTTAACTTGAAGGTCAATTACTTGCACAGCCATGGTCTTGCTCACACAGAACTGAGATTAGAAAATGTGCACATTAGCCCTGTGGATAGACATATCAAAGTTAGTTTAGACTGTGAGTAGTGAAGTTTTATTATATATGTTTCAGTTCTGTCAACTAATATCAGAGTTCTTTTCCGACTAAAGGTAGGGATTCTCGGAAATGCAGCTGACTTTAACGGGGATGGTCCAAGTACTAGCAGCGCTTACACTACCATGGACAGACGACAAATGATGATAGCATTTGACATGAGGTATTTTAAGAAGAGATGGTAATTATATTTTCTGTTTGTTTACATTACTCAGCCTAATTTTAAATTTCCTTTTCATGATCAAAGATGTGTTGGATTCATGATGGCAAAAATGGTACTTCAAGAATTGATGGATCCATTAATCTTTGCGAAATTGAAGTCTTTCTTGGCAAAGGTATTATTACTTGAGCTACACAGTGTGCCTTAGGTAATAGTCAGTAGATGAGTTTGATGTTATAAAATTTTATCTAGGGGAATGATCCTTCCTCGCTACGGGAATTCTTCGTGACGACGCTCAATACAAACTCCGAGTCTGGAAATACTGGAGTGCAAGTAAGTACTCAGCTTAGTGCTATTACTAGTTCTTTAGTTCGCTGTGAGATTAAACAAACGTTTGTTTGCTCTCAGATACTTGATAGAAACTGGGGAGCAGGTTGGCATCTTTTATCTTCGTTAATTGCTACCAGACCTTCTAAAAGAATAAGGTTAACATAACATTAGTGCACGATTTTATTACCAATCTATGGAGGCGTTAAATGAGCTAAAAACTCAGAAGCTACATTAACAAATTCTGTTGGGTTTGGTGCAGTTGCTTGGATGCTCTTAAACATCCCTTTCTATGTGGACCAAGATGGCGCGTTGCCCCATCAATGGATATCATCAGATGGGGTCTTGGATCAACCGCAGTAAAGATTTCAGAAGAATACATTTACCGCATGCCTCAGGTGTGTATATATGAGATATTTTGCTGTCGGTTAAAAATGTTTGAACTTTTACTCACCCGCTCAGTTTTCTAACCGGAAATTATTCTTATGCAGCGCCAAAGACTTGCCCACTTCATTGGACTGATGGAGATGCTAAATCCTTATCCAAAACCAAACGTATGAATTACACCTCTCATGATTCTTTAGCTTTGATATATTTGCACATTTAGTGTGTTATGTGTGAAAAAGACATGGTTTATAATCTCTTGTTTAAACACAGTGTTGGTTGGAGCTTTTACCGGGAAGATGGCGTCTGTTATACTCAACCGGAAAGCACATAGGTCTAACTCTGCGTCAGCCCTCAACACGTGCCTTAATAGGCAACGTTCACTTAATGATAACTCGAGCTTCAGAATCCGCAAACAACACTTCACTTTCCTTTACCTCTGATATAGGCTTCACTGCCATAACCAGCAAAGATTGGCCACACAACAAAATCGGAGCTACTGGGAAATTACAAACGCTTTCTCAATTCAGACTAATAGCCGGAAAAAGACTTTACCTCAAAGAAGAAAAAAAGAACATTGGTAAGTTCTCAATGGGCGAACCAGATGCTGAAGAAGGTCTAGCCGAGAAGCTTGAAACCGAGAAATGGAAAAAAGTAGTGCCCTTCAAGGAGTTTCCGTCGAGTCTTCCTGTAGCAAAACTCATATCTGGAGACATCGAAGTGACGATGAACATGAACGATCGTATAGATTCACCTGGGAGTGTGATTGGAGAAGTTAGGAAGCAAATTCCGCCGGAAATGTTCGATCTTTCTAAGCTTGTGTGTGGGACTTACATAGACAGTAGGTTACTTGTACTTAGGTGTGTAAATGGTTCAGCATTGTTGTTCACAAGATCCAGCTTGGACCATATGTCTATGTAGCCACTTGGATCGGTTCTTATGTATATAACAAATGTATCATTCTTTTTTGGACTAAACCTTGTAGTCTAGACTTGTATGTTGTGGTAATAATGTTTGCTTTTGGCTTTGAGGTTGTAATAAGAGCTTTTTTTAGTAGAAGCCCACAGAAAAAAACGAACATTGGTTTTAATATTAATAAAGTTCGAATTAAATCAAATCATAAAAATACTATTCTTTTCATGATCAAAAAAGAAACAATGATTTGCAAGACATCTCTTAAAGTTTTGTTCTGCATATGTTTATCAAATTTCTAATTCCTTATAGTCAAATACTTTTCTTTGATAATATTTTCGTAAAGAATAGCATCCAAAATACCAATATTAAGGAATTATGAGAATTTTTAATTGGATCATATTTCTTTTTTTCCAATATGCTTTAACTTTTTGTTGAAAGTAAGTATGAGACGTGGAGATTTATGATAGAAATGATTCTACAATTCTGAGAACTTTCCATACATCTTTTACTGTCTATCAAATTAAAATCTTTGTAAGGATAGCAAATTTTCAAAAGGAGAATCTCTTTTGTCTTTTCCAGCGAGAGGAATTAAAAACACGTGTTGAAGTCCACCTAACATGGTCTAGGGGACAGGATCACAGGACAGGCTTCTTTCATATCAATAAAAGACCTACTAATACCTGAAATTCGTTTTACTTAAAAAGAGAAAATTAACCTTAAAACATAAAACTCAAATTTAGAAATATATTAACCAAACCAAAGGCCTAAAACTAACAATACATATAGAGAGAGTAGTATTAAACAAAGTAACTAACTAGGACACAAACTGTGGACAAAACATAAAGTTCCAAGAAATGTAGTTTATATATAGTTAAATTATAAGAGAGGGCCCTATAGAGAGAGAGCTTTTGACCCTTAGAATCTATGAAAGGAGAGAAAGAGTCTTTTATTGTATGGCTATTGATTGATACAAAGACTCCTCAACTATCCAAATGGCCAAATTTGACTCTTCTCTCTCTCTCATTACTCTCCCCATTCTTACTCCAAATATTAATACCTTCCAAAACAAGAAAATATTCGTTTTTATTGCCAAATGGCTCGTCATGGTCTCCACTATCCCCGACACATTGACATGACCAAGGTTCGATCCCGCTTCTTTCACTAAACGTGGCAAAAAAATAAAAAGTTTTCTCTCGTGTGTTATGCATATTCAATTGAGACATGATTTGATGTCCTAATGTAAAAACATGACTTGGCAATAAAAAGAAAGTAAAAGTTTTGTTTTGAAGAAAGTTGAATATGTTTTGATTCCTACTCAAATAGCTTCTGTTTTTATTTGAATTGAAATGTGATTCTAATCGCATAGATTTTCGTTATCATCACGAATTCTAGAATAGAATGAATTGTGATAAAATGTTTATTCAAAATTCTCATCCCACGTTTTCCATTTTAGTGTTTCGTTTGTCCACGTCTATCTTTTAGACTTTTACGTACCATGACTTGTAAGATTCTAAAGGAAAATAATTGTTTTGGCAAAAAGAAACAAAGAAAACATGATATTGTAAACAGGATTCCATATACATAAAACCGAATAAATTCTAGAGCATATAGATGAAATTCACAAAGCGATGATAGTGGAGATCAAATCTTAACAAAATCATTGGACTACAATCATTTGGATCAACAAACCTTCCCTTTTCTTCTAACAATATTTGTACTATATGATAAACAAATAATTAATGAGAATAATAGTTTAATGGTAATAGTGTAAGATAGTCCAAAAAACATAGGTTCGGCTAATAATCTATATATAATAGCAATCTAATAAATACCATTTGCACATCTGAACGGTTGCGTCTTTTTATCGCAACCTTTCGTTTAAATCGGTTATTATTTTACGGTTATTTTGGTTGCGTCTTTTTATCGTAATTTTTGTTTTAATCGGTTATTATTTTACGGTTATTTTGGTTGCGTCATTTTATCGTAATTTTCGTTTTAATCGGTTATTTTTTTACGGTTATGTCGTTTCCAATAAATACTATTTGTACATCTGAACGGTTGTGTCTTTTTCTTGCAAGCTTTCGTTTAAATATTTATGGTTGTTTTTCTTATAGTTATTTTTGTACGGTCATGTTGTTTTATTGAATTTCTTTTTACGTAAACCAATGAACTACATATAAAATTGGTTTATTTCATAGTTTACATATGGATATATTTTTAATTTTTAAACTAAAATTTATATTTTACGGGTATGTTTTTTAGAAAATTGCAATCCGAATATCTTCTGCGGTTGCTTCTTTTTATTGTACCTCTTCATAAACAGTTGCAACCTTTTATTCGAATTATTGCAATATTTAGTTTATTTCACGAAAAATTGCATCTTTTTATCGTAATTTTTTATAAAATGATTGCAGCCGTTTAGTTGAACCATTGCAACATTTAGTTTATTTCACGAAAAATTGCAACTTTAAGTTTATTTTATAAATCGTTATAACATTTAATCATCTACCATCGTTATTATTAATTTTCGTTTGATATTTTTTTAACGATTTTTGAAATATTTTCCCCCGCGACATCGCGGGGGTCCGGAGTCCTAGTTAATTAAATGGCGATTTAGAATAGGGCTATATTAATTGATATGCATAGAAGACTGAAAAATTAAAAATCTATCTATGCTTTTCTTTTTATTAGTTTTCTTTCCTCTGACTCAATTAATACCAAACCTACCCTTTATTTTGTAAAAGAATACTTTGTGTGGTTATCTTTTTGATTAACAATGTAAATCAAATTGTATCGCGATAACTAAAAAGTAAAAACACTGTTCAGCCAAATATCGAAAACTTTATTCATCACGAGATGTAATAAAAAAATAGTGATTTTGGTGATTATTTATGTAATTTAGTAATATAAATTATATTATATTATGATAACTTTACATGTTGTATGGTAAAATTATATTTATCGTGCTAATATATTTATTATATGATTGTTATCAACAAACTTATATAATAATATGTTTATTTAGTTCGATAATTTATTCATTCCCGTTAACTTATGCATTAGCATATTTATTTATCATGATAATTTGTTTATCACGGTTAACTTATATGTTATGGATGTTAAAAAAAATCTTCTTCTCTTCTCGAGTATCTTCCTCTGTCATCATGTCTCCCAGATTTTTTTCTTCTTCCATTATCACCTGCAACTCCATCCCAAGTTCACCTCATCACTTTCTCTCTTCTTCTTCTTCTTTCCCCACCTCTTCGTCCTCTCCATTTTTACTTTAAACTACTAAACAATAATTTTCATCCCTAAATTCTTTGCCCACCTCTTTGTCCTCTCCATTTTCACTCCGTCTTCTTCGTCTTCTCCATTTTTACTTTATTTTATGTAAATGCTAACAAAAATAATAACCAGATAAGTAATTAAGTGTGTAGAAGAAATATGTATATTTTATGTAAACGCTAACAAAAATAATAACCGGATAAGTAATTAGGTGTGTAGAATAAAAGGGTAAAATTGTCAAAAGATCAATCCCTCTCTTGTCCACTTAATTAAAAGAAAATCATGCATACATACTTAATTATTTGATCTTATGAGCATATCCATTGATATTTTCCTCTAAATATATAGATTACGCCGCATGACACATGTGAAGCGGAGCACATGGACGCACAAATGGTTCGTTGGCCTCAATCTGTTCCGAGAAGTCGCGTCTCTTCTCTTCCTTTTTTTATATAAATCTATTGGCAAGTGCCAATTTGCTTCTTGTTGTCAACTTAATTTTCTTTATAACTAATGCTCGATTTTGTCTTGTTCATTTAGTAAATCTTGCTAATCAAGAAAAGCGTTTAGATTCGACTTTTTTATTATTTTTCTGTTACAAAACAATAACCAAGTGGAAGTTTGTTAAGGAGGATAATATTTGTATGGAAAATTAGATTGTCGTTAAAAAAATATTCTGTAAAATGGACAAAATCCAACAAAAATCCAAATAGTTGGTAATACTAAGTTGGTTTGACGTATAAATAGTAAAATAAATGATTATGTCTTTTCTGATTCAGTGAACCACGAGGAAAATGTTGTGATTAATTGGTAAGTTTTGTTTGTGTGAAAAAGATATGTTTTTGAATTTTATTTTCACTAAAGTTTATCAATCAACGAAAAGGTATGAAAAAGACAACTAAAAAAGATAGCAAGAGGCGATAGAATTTACAGCGGCAGAATTATGTGAAAACTTTTGATTTTTTTTTTATTATTGTTATCGGAGAAATCTCAAACCAAAACTCATACTAATCTCAGGGACCCATAAAAAGACTATTTAAAAATTACTCTCGTTGTATTTACATGTTATCCTAATTAATGTGCATGAGGTTTTTATAAAATTTTATTGGACTCAAAACTTTTATTTCAAGCAAACACGAGTTTCAGTTTCATAAATTTCAATACATCTCAACCGACCTGTTGTACTTTTTTTCTTTAATTTAACAAACAAATAAACATATGAAAACAAAGTTTTTAATTAAGTCTAATACTTGAGCTAGAAAAACAAATAGATAAATCGAAATTAATTGTGAAGCACGAGACGCAGCATAGCGTCAAAATGACAGTTGATCAGTTTGAAGTTGTATTGGAAATAACAAAGGAAAATAAAACTGTGTTGTCCACGCTCACTAATAGCCAAACCTAACCAACCGTTTTAGTATTTCTATATAAAACTCCTGCATTAATATATTCAACTATGTATTTTTTCATTATTTAAAACTAACTTTTTAATTAATTATGTTAATCCGGTCAAAGGCATAGTTTTTTGTGGATGCGAATTTATTTATTTATTTATTGCTCCTTGGGCTCGATGGCAGTTTTAAAGTAGTCGGTAAACGAATTGATTGTGTTTATTTTTTATAGGTCAAAATGATCTGTTTATCGTAATCATGGAAGCGTATTACTATTGGTACAGTACAACTTATTATCATTGGATGAATAAAAAAACATAAAAACGGAAATTAAAAAAAAAACCCAGAAAAATTCATTTGATATTCGATTAGTAATATTGGATAATTGCAAAATGACAACTAAGTTATGGAGTAAAATAATTTGTATGTATCTCATCGAAATAGATTATTGATTTCAGACCAACT